AAAGAATAAACATCTAGTCTCCTAGAAGGGCAAGAGGGGCCTGGCCTTGGAGTCTAATTGCTTCTTTTTGTATCTGTAGTTTTCTGAAATCTGTGGTTTTGTATTTGCAATGAGACCATCACTGAAAAATCCACAGTGCTTAGGATGTGGATGGAGTGCAACTTTCTAACAATTATTCAATGTACCAGCACCATATGTACAGTCAGAGTATTATCCATAACTTGAAATAACAGGGAGTAGATTACATGATTGTCACAAAAATCACTGCTGTTCACATGAATATTGCTCTCCAAAAATTAGATCTTCCTTCTTCCTTCTTACTCTTCACCTCAAATACTATGGATTCTTTTTTTTTTTTTTTTGTTGGTCGTGAGGCTTGATCTCTGGGCTTGGGCACTGTCCCTCAGCTCTTCAGCTCAAGGAGACCGCTCTACTGATTGAGCCACAATGCCACTTCCGGTTTTCTAGTGGTTTATTGGAGATAAGAGTCTCACGGACTTTCCTTGCTCGGGCTGGCTTTGAACCGTGACCCTCAGATCTCAGCCTCCTGAGTAGCTAGGATTAAAATACTATGGATTCTTGATCCATTCTCCCCTAGCCACGTCTGGCTATTGCTAAAGACATGCCACCTCTCAACACATCCCAAGTTGTCACTTCATAATTTAATTTAATTAAGCATATCATGTGACCTTTTGGGGCTTTTTTGCTTTTGGGGGGCCATAGTGTATTTTCACAAAATTAAGGGCAGGGAAACACATGGTGGATCATAACAATGATACAGATACAACTGACCACACTGCAGAACTGAGAACCCTGTATCAACTATGCTGCATAATTTAACATTTTTGTTTTTGAAATTTCTTTCGATTTATTATTATTATTATTAACCATAGGTAATAAATCAGACAGGGTTACAAGACAGACTTCTCAAAAGTGTCCAAGCACTTAGATTCAGTGTTTCCTCTGCTAATATCTTACTTCTTCATCAGCTTTCTTTTTCCAAAATTGTATTAAGATCACTTATTGGTCACTATTTTCTGTTTCTCTATCCTCTTGGGTTTATCTCATAGTCAACCAGAAATCGCATTTTCTTTTAGAAGGTAGTTATTTTTGTGCAATTTGGATTAAATTTTGCTGATAAATGTTAAAATCCATACAAAATGCTTTTCCTTGTATGGCTTGTTTTCTTGACATGTATGTTTTGCAAATATAACTCTTAATGTACTGTTGGGAAAAAAGGTTGTATTATAAATTATTGACCTCCTCTGGGTTGGTAATAAATGTATAACATTGGCTAGCGGCATTCTTTTAAAACTTTCTGAAGTTAACATTTCTGTTGCATTTGTGGCTGCTTCCATGGAGACACCATAGTAACTGTAAGTACTGGCAGAGTTCGGAAGTTTCTACATTGATTTTTTTTTTTTTATGGACATTGGTTCTCACACACTCATTCTTTTGTGGCAAGTGAAATACCAACAAGTCACACTGATTTATGGACAAGTTAACTTCCCATTCAAAAGAATACTGTGCAGAATTCAAGATCTACTTGTTTAGTCATGGAAGCAGAACTTTTATGAAATTCCTCACTGTTCCTGTCATCCCCCAAAATCGATTCATGATTGTGTTGAACTGATTGGACCAAAAGGGCTGCGCACATGTTCTTGTTCTGAGAAAACAATTGGTCTGAGATGACAGAGGAGTTTGGTGAAAGGTCCCTGGACCAGTGAAGGTTTAGATTCAGGAGATGCAGTGAGCATGTCCAGTGTGGCACCTGCCTTCCTTTGTGTGACCTCATCAATTTGCCTTCATTGTCAGAGAGACCACTGAGGTGGCTATGAACCCCTTATACATGTGAACTTGACCTATCTTTCAGGACAGAGGGGCTGAAGTGAGAACCCAGGGCCCATGTGATTTCCAGGGCCTGTTCTACCTCAATCCCCTGATTTCCTCATGTCTTTCCTCAGGGTAGTCAGAGCCAGTGCACCACAGCATGACTCTGGAGCCAGATGCCTGCATCCTGACACATCCACCAGTGGAGCTTTGAGACTAAGTTTCTCCATCTCTAAAATGGGAAGAATGATAGTCATTTGGGGAATTAATACTATAAAGCACCAAGTAGGCACAGTGTTTGCTAAATCAGCAGAAAACTCTATTGGACTTTCTGGATTTCCTACCCTATTCAAGCAGATACAGGTAGGGGGGCATGACTCAAGCAGAATGCCTGCCTAGCAAGTAAGAAGTCGTGAGTTCAAACCCCAGTATTGACAAAGGGGAAAAAAAGCCAGACATTTTTGACTCATACCTGTAGTCTTAGCTACTCAGGAAGCTGAGATCTAAAGATTATGGTTTGAAGCCAGCAGGCCCTGAGTTCAAGCCCCAGGACTGACACCAAAACAAAAAGAGAGGTGGGGAGAGAGAGACAGACAGACAGACAGAGACAGAGAGAAAGAGAGAGGAGAGGGAGGGAGAGACGAAAGGGAGAAAGGGAGGGAGGAAAGGGAAAGAAAGGAAGAAAGAAAAAGAAAAAAGAAACGAGAGTCTCTTTTTACAGGAATAATCTGCTTTAGTTGAAACCACTTGTCAGTATTAACCCTTATGTATGCTCTAAAGTAAAACCTGAGTTGGTAAAACTTATACCTAGATATCTTTCAATAGCTCTACAGAGCTTTAATTAGGGTGAAATATTGCAAGAATTGAATTGGAAATAATCAGATAAGGAATGGTAAATTAATCTATTTTTATCTTGATTTTATAAAATGGGGGGGGTGAGGCTAGGTGAGTCCAAATGCACGTGATCCTTAGTAATCATTTAACTTCTTGGTGTAGCCTGCTAACTCACACCTGGAATGTAGATGCAGTGTGCTTAGATTAAAAATGGCCTGATGTTAACAGATGAAAAGCCCATGGTGTCAATGGGCTGATTAAAATTCCAAAGGCTGCCTGCCTGACTCCCACTGGCAAGGCTGAGATTCCAGAGAACTTTGGTTATGACTTAGTTTCCTTTCACCTAGGGACCATTGTGACTCCTTATCACCATGTCAGGTAAATCAATCCTAATCAATGCCTTGTGCATTGCAGAGGTAAAGTGAAGACAGGTGACACCAGCATTCTTAGGAAGGGGTCCTACCCTGGGATATTACCCTGGCCGGTTGAGGGAAGGGCACTACATTCCTGTTTCAGAATACCAGTAGTTTTTTCCTACAGGGGAGCTGAATGGTTCGGAGAAGCAAAGGTTAACCTTTGTTTGCTTGTGAAATAAGTAAAGGAGTTAAAGCCATAGGTTGAGGGTTTAAACAGAGAGGATAGAGGTTTTCCTTACAGCAGGCTAGTACTTGGATCCGGACTCATTCTAATCAATTTTCTCCCCCATTCCCATTCCCTGATTTCAAGCCTAAGTTTGGTGAAGCAGCTGTTGGCCCATGCCAGCAATCCTTCATTGTTTTGATTAATAAGATTGTGCAGCAGAAAAGCAGACAAAGCTGAGGCTGTTAAGCTGACCAAGATAAGATTTTTTTGTGGGTGTATGTATGTGCCGGTACTGAGGGTTGAACTCAGGACCTCTCACTGTCTTGGCTTTTTTTGCTCAAGATTAGCACTTGACCATGTAGGACACACCTCCATCTCTGTCTTTTTACTGGTTTAATTGGAGACAAGAATTTTCTTCCCAGGCTGTGAAGATCTCAGCTCTTCAGAGCTCAGCCTCCTTGGCTGTGTAAACTACTGGTACCCAGCATTTGATCAATATTTGGAACATTAGAGTCAGGAATTTCTTTTCTAGGAAAACCTCTTCCCCTAAGGAAGCCTCTGTTGAAGTGATACAATGTTTCCCAAATAGATGAAATTCATAACCATAGGCAGGCAGAATGGTTCTGATATTTGTCAGTGGGCATTACATGGAAAAAGAAGAGTCTGCAAGCCAGTGTTAATGTATTAGTTATGAACTAGACTCTAGAATCACATTCTTGGGTTTGATTCCTGGTTGAAGCATTCACAAACTTTAGGAGTTTGAGTATGACACTTAACTTTTCTGGACCTCAATTTTTCATCTATAAAATGGGTCTAGTAAGTGTTCCATCCACGTTAGCTGCTGTTAACATAGTTCTTGATTTCTATAGACAGCCAGAGACTGTGGGAAAAGTGCAAAGTTTATCTTTCCCACACATGGGCTCCTCCCAGACCCTTCTCACATCAAGGATGATGAGTGAGATAAGCATGTGAACCAAAGATCATAGTGGCAAGAACTGTCTCCCCCCCCCCCGCCCCGGTATATTCCAAGTTTTCTCTCTGGCAGCTTCCTAGTGAGTCGTAGTAGTTTTCATTCATTTTTATACTTTTATTTTTCTGAGTCATCATTACCTGTGAAATAAGGGGTTGTATGGCTATGTCAATAGATAACCCTGTATTGATTGTTTTCCATTAGTTATGGGCTGTTAGTTAACACTGGTCACAAATGGAAGGGTTGGCCTGCACATTCTTGCACTCTTCTGGCCAGGGCACTGTTTAGTTTAATTGAGAGTTTCAGAGGGTTGGGGAGTCATGGAGTTATTTTACTGGGTAGAGGAAAAAAGGAGTAAATAGAGGAAAGCTGGCCACTAGAGATTTGCAGAGCAGATTGAAAGTTGGCTTTGTTTTGTGCCCAACTTCTCAGGAGATTTTCCTCGGCTGAGTGGGCTTGGTGGAGCACTAGCCTGAAAGTGTTGCTTAGCAACAAGATTTTGTGGCACCCGACTCTCAAATAGACAAGCAGCCCATCAATTCCCCGCCTCCCGGCCCACCGGCCCTCAGCTACTACTGCAATCTCCTGTTAGATAATTAAGTGTGTGGCAGAGGGAGGGACAAGAGACCAGTAAAGTTTAATCATTGAACCAGACAGGCTAAAAGTATTTAGTCCACAGTGTCTATCTCCCAGCCTGAACAGGCAGTGTGTAGAGCTCTGGACACGGAAGAGCAAACTTCACAGAACTCTTCGCCCATCTCAGGAGAAACCGAACTTGGGGAAGATGTTTGCGGTCCACTTGCTGGCGTTTTACTTCACCAAGCTGAAAGAAGATCAGATCAAAAAGGTAAGGATGCTGAAGCTGAGACATGCCCCGACCCTTCCCCTCTGACAGAACCAAATGCTTTCCTGACTGTACCAGAAAGGATTGAGAGGCTTCAGGTGGCACTTGGTAGAGAGCTCGCCAGACCTGTGCAAGGTGCTGGGGTCAGAAACCCCAGCAAATTTAAGAGACCTTATTAGAAAAGGTATCAAGGGCTAGTGACACACTCAGGAGGAAGAGGAAGCGAAGCTCATACACCCCTGGGCTTTGCAGTACTGTCTCAAACCAACCTTGAGTTTTAGTCCAAACTTCCAATGATATCAGGTGTGGAACAAGATAAAGAAAGGATTCAGAAAGCTTGAAGAGCTTTGTGCTCAATTCAGGAATTTGGGTAGGGGGGACAGCCAAATAGGAGAGTCATTTGTAAGGAAGTTTTATGAACCTTTGAGCCAGACTTGACGATTTATATATTTAAAAGCATATAAAACATGGACATTAACAGCAATGTGCCATTTAGTTTGATTATTTGTTTGTTTGAAATGGGAGTTTCTCTCTGTGTATATGGGCTATGCTGGCCTTGAGCTATTATGTCTAAATAATCCATCTGCCTCAACCTTCTGAGTAGCTAGGATTACAGGGGTGTACCACTGTGCTTGGCTGGTATGTGAGGTTTGGGGGTTGTTTTGTTTTTGGTAGTGCTAGGATTTGAATGGAGATAATGAGTTTTAATATATGATAATTGAAATACTTGTTATTATCATGGGCTGTTTGCCAATTGAAAGCTTTATTTTGTCACTTTGCTTCAGAAACCTATCTAGAAAAAAATGGTACCAAGTTGTGTTAGTTTACTGGGGAATCAGGATCCCCTCCTGGCAGCTGAAATGAGGCCAACCTGTCTCACTAGTCCCAAGTGACCAAGTAGTCCAAGCACTTAACGTCTCTCAATTGATAGGTAACAGAAATCTGCTTGGTAGATAGACTCAGCCCAGACCACCCAGGTCTTTAAAGTAAAAAATGAGGATTGAACTTCAACCAGTGGATATCTCTTTTAGCCTTCTTCCTTTTCAACGAGAGAGGATGACTTTCTAGGTTTCAGAGTAAGAGGTGTGGCCTCTTCTAGCCCCCAAGTGCTTCATGGGTAAACTTCCACTCATTCTATTCACTAGAGTTAAGAGTTGCAGCATACTTAAGAATATAAATCAGCCAAGCCTCTGTGGCTCACACATGCAATCCTAGCTACTCAGGAGGCTAAAATCTACTGATTGAGCTTTGAAGGCAGCTCTGGCAGGAAAATCTATATAAGACTCTTATCTCTAATTAATCACCAAAAAACTGAAAGTGGAACTGTGGCTCAAGTTGTAGAGTGCTAGCCTGGGGCAAAAAAAAAAAAGAGCTTAGGAACAGCACCCAGGTCCTGATGTCAAGCCCCAAGACCAACAAACGCGCGCACCAACAAACGCGCGCACACACACACACACATACTCTCTCTCTCTCTCTCTCTCTCTTTCTCTCTCTCTCTCTCTCTCAATCACTCACTCACTCACTCATGCGTGCATGTTGTAAGTTTTAGTCATTGATTCATGAGTCCTTTATTGGCTAAGGAGGCAAAAATGTACTGTAGGACTTACTTTGTTACTAATGTGCCTAGGAAAGGTGCAATCTCTGTGTCTCTCCCACCCAGTGGGAACCATTAGTACCCTGAGAGAAGTTGGGTTCTGCAAAGTTAGTTTCCTTGGTGCCTTCCTTGGTGGTTGGCCTTTCCTTCTACCAGGATAAGGTGGGACCTGTTTGTCTACCAGCCCAGATGTGTGCTCCACTCATGTGTTTCAGATCCTTCTAGAAGGAGGGTCAGCCTTTGTCAAACCTGGAGTCTCCCTGTGGGAGAGAGGAAAGTAAGGAGTAGTTTGTAGACACCCGAATCAAAGGCCCAGCAGGTCTCTGGAGAACTGGGGGAGGCTAGTTTATGGCGGCTTGTCTGAGTCACAGCTTCTGAGAACATTCCTCCATGTAGCAAGTACACACCTGGTCAAAGGCACAGCATGTTCCCCGACTGGGGTCAGGTGGCTAGCGCCTGACTGTGTGCTTCCTGTCTTGGGAAATGTCAAGATGCTAGGCCATACTTACCCGTGAGAGTTCCGGTTAGATCCTGGGACAGTGTTCTACAATATCCCAATATTAACATTAAGACAAAAGGAAAAAAACATGAAAGAGAGAAACCACTCTGACAATTTCTTTTCAGTTCAATATATTGACATTATTTGACCTATTGGAAACACTGGGCCAAGCCTGGTCACTGACCTGCAGATTACCCATCCATCAGAGCAGGCCTGGTTGGCTTTCCGTGTGTGTTTTTTACAGTGTAGTAAGTCAACATTACAGAAAGTGGGAGCCTCACTTTTAATCAGTTTCCCTCCAATTACTAACACTGTGCTGATGTGTTCCAACACTGATCTTTCGGTCTTTTTGGTTCTTGCAATTTATTGATAATGTGCTCTCATGTACTTCTGAATCTCCTTCTCCTCACTTATTATCATAATTATAATATTACTATATTATAATATACTGACCACTTGCCTACATTTCTCCCTCATCTTAATTCTCATTTTAATGTCTTTCTAATATTTATTTAAGTATATATGTATTATAATTTGTTCAACTTTTTCTGACTTGTAGGGCATTTGGATACTATAGAAACATTCTTTTGAACAACTAAAATATTATTCTATGTAAAGAGAGAACATTCAGGTTCAAAATTTTTACTGGGGGCTTGGAATGTGGCTTAGTGGTAAAGTGCTTGCCTAGCATACACAAAGCTTTGGGTTCAATTCCTCAGTACCACATAAATAGAAAAAGCCAGAAGTCGTGCTGTGGCCCAAGTGGTAGAGTGCTAGCCTTGAGCAAAAGAAGCCTAGGCACAGTGCCCGGGCCCTGCGTTCAAGCCCCAGGACTGGCAAGAGAAAAAAAAATTTACTGATGTATGTGTGTGTATGTATGCACACACGTGTGCATGTGTGTATTGGTAATGGAGCAGGAACTCAGGGTGTAGCCTCTTTCCCTTAGATTTTTCACTCTCTTTTTCCTGCCACTTGAGCCACAGCTCTACCACCAGCTTTTTGGTAGTTAATTGGAAATAAGAGTCTCACAGATTTCCCTGCCTTGCCTGGCTTTGAACTGCAGTCTTCAGTTCTCAGCCTCCCGAGTAGTTAGGATTACTAGCTACCAGCACCTGGCTAATTTTTATAGTTTTGACTCTAAAGATTAAGTGGCTCATGCCTGTAATACTAGGTACTCAGGAGGCTGAGATCTGAGGATTGAGGTTCAAAGCCAGCCCAGGCAATAAAGTCCATGACACTCTTCAATGAACCTCCAGAAAACCAGAAGTGACACTGTGGCTCAAGTGGTAGAATGCTCACCTTGCCCAGGCCTAGAGTTCAAGCCCCACAACAACAGAAAAAAAATCCAACTTTATGAACATTGGCATATGCTTATCATTCTCTGTATTTCAGCTATTTCCTGAAGTTAGATTCCAGTAATGAAATTGATAGGTCAAAAAGTGGAACCACTTTATGACTCAGTTCATCATATTAGACCTTTGGACTGACCTCCAAGGTCCCTTTTTAGCACCTGCATTCTCTAATTAAATAGGTCTGAGTTTTGAGGATTTTTTTTAACTTACTCTTTCAAATACTTGGGTGCTTTAAGCACGTAGGTGCAAGTTGGCTCTCCTGTTTAGACCTTATCTCCCATTCCAGAAGAGGCTTTGCTTTCCTGCAATTCAACCTACCTCCCTCAGCACAAGATGAGTGTCCTTGCTTACACTTGTCCCAATTCACCTGTTGGCATTGAAGATAGCTTACTATTAGTTTTTATTCTGTTTTCCCTTCCCTTAGGAAGTCACAAAGAATAAATAAGAAACTGTTATGTTGGCAACTTTAATTTCTTGCAAGAGCAGCAATAACTCAAGGTGCTACACGGTTCTTACACAGCAGACTCAACCACCATGACTTAAGCAGGAGGGTGATATGCTGTGATGCTTGGAGAAGCTCTTTGTGCTGGTGGGCTGAACAAAGATGATCAGTGGGCTCTGAGGTACTGACTGAGGGGCTTTGGCATGATGATAAAGGATCAGGTTTCGTTCCCACGTAGGGCATTCCACCCTTCCTCTGCCCCAATTACTCAGGTCACGTCCCTTCCATCCAGTTTACCCACTTGTGTGTGGCTGTGCCAACCAATTAGTCATACACAGTCTGGGCAGGAAGCCCTTAACGAAGCATGACCTGGTTACATCCTATCTCCTCCAGTACACTGAATGCTCAATTGTCCTTTAATGGTGTTTTGGCCTCTCTTTGCCCCCCCCCCCAAGTCCTCAGAACCATGGGGCCATTTCACTGGCTTGGATTCCCCTGTCCTCTGAAGCCTGGCTGAAGACATTGGTGATGCGAGCCCTTTGGTTTGGGTCTAGTTTGGCTATTGTGGATGGGGTTGCCACAAAGAGTTGTGAGTCAAAACCAGGCTGTGGAATGGGAGGTTTAGAGACTGCCCTGTATTGCTTGTTCTGCCACCTAACAATAGCTGTCAGGGTACTGTTTAGTGGTCCTGGGCCTTGCATTCCTCATCTCTCCCTCAAAGGGGTGTTGTACAGACTTGAGGAGGTAGACTGCATTCCTCTCTGGAATGTGCCTGGAACCACTCCCCCTGGTGACCTTCTTGAAGATGGGTGGAGAACGAGCTAATGCCTGACAGGGCCTCTCTTGTCCCATGGAGAACCCATTCCAATGAACCCTAACGAGCCCCGACCGCCACCAGAATCTGGCTGATAGCAGTATGGTGAGGATATTTTCTGCCATTCATCACATGACATGGAGCCATAAGTGGACTGAGTGGGCTGCAGGGATTTTATATAACTTCCTTCTTATTGGGGTAGTGGTCGTTTGGCCTCAACGTTTTAATTACTTGAATGACATCTGCTCTTTTTTAATTTTTTTAATTTTTATTTTATTTTATTTTTTTGTCCAGTCATGGGGCCTGAACTCTGGGCCTGGGCACTGTCCCTCAGCTCTTCAGCTCAAGGCTAGAGCTCTACCACTTGAGCCACAGCGCCACTTCTGGCTTTTTTCATTTTGCTTATGTGGTGCTGAGGAATCGAACCCAGGGCCTCAGGCATGCAAGGCAAGCACTCTACCACTGAGACACCTTCCCAGCCCCTCTTTTTTTTTTATTGTGAAAATACTGTACAGAGGGGTTACAATTACATGGGTAAGATAATGGGCACATTTCTTATCAAGCATTGTAGCCTCCTCCTTTGTTTCCCCTTCCCATCCCTTTATATCCTCTCCCTGCCTCCCCCCCAGCCCCCCCACCAAAGTTGTAAAGTTCGTTTTTCAACATAACGACTTGTACATCTCATTGTTGCAATGGGTCCTCCTGTATCCCTGTTTTAACAATTTGTTTTGTCCCTTCCCCTCCACATATACCAACATCATATATAGCAAAAGCAGGGTTTGTACCATGGGGGAGGGACATACAAGGCAACAAAGACATAATCTTATAAATATGTTAGAAACAATCGCATGAAATCTCTCTCTCTCTCTCTCTCTCTCTCTTTTTTTTTGTCAGTCGTGAGGCTTGAGCTCTAGGCCTGGGAGCTGTCCCTGAACAATTCGACATCTGCTCTTTTGCAATCTGAGGTGACTTTATAAATTAAACTTCTATATAGCAAAACTTTGTTTAAAGAACTTTGTTTAAAGAACTAGTATTTTAAAGATTGCAGTTGGAACTGGAATTTAGTTCTTATCTTCCTTGTAACCAGTAACAAAGGGAGATGTATTTGGATTTTTTTTAATGTTTGTAATCCTAGTGACTTTGGAGGCTAAGATTTCTGAGGATCCAGATTTGAAGCTGGCCGAGGCAGAAACATCTGTGAAGTACTTCCAAATTTCCAATTAACTAGCAAAAAGCTGAAAGTGGAAGCATGTTTTAAGTGATAGAGCACCATCCTTGAGCAAAAAACCAAATGAGAGCATGAGGCCCTGAGTTGAGGCCCCATAACTGGCACCAAAACCAAAAACCAAACAACAATTTGAACGCGATGGCATGTTAAACTAAGTGTGATGGGATATACCCCAAACCCCAGGGTTCAGGCCAAGGCAGGAGGATCTTGGGGCTACCTAGTAAGACCCTGTCAAAAAATCTTCCATGCTTAGGAATTTAAGATTCAAGATTCAGCTAGTGGAGAGACAGCAGCACAGCAGAGAAGACCCTGAAGTGGAATTTGAAACCTCAAATCCTTCCCATCCCCAAGACCCTCTGTCCCATCCGTTTGCCATTCACAGCCTTCCTTTCTGTCCTCCTCCTGGCTTGCTGAGGGACCAGGAAGGAGCCTTGGGGCCTTGACATCAAGAGGCTGTCCACAGAGTCAGCAGCGCAGCTTCAAGGTGGGCCTGGAGGGCAGACATTGTCAGCAGCCACCCTGCTCACCCTGGTGTCTGTTCCAGGTGGACAGGTTCCTGTATCACATGCGGCTTTCTGACGAGATCCTTTTGGACATCATGGCGCGGTTCCAGGCTGAAATGGAGAAGGGCCTAGGGAAGGACACCAACCCCACAGCTTCTGTGAAGATGCTACCCACTTTTGTCAGGGCCATTCCAGATGGCTCAGGTGAGTGAGGGGCACTGTGGCTGCCAGGGCTTCCGATAGCTCCTTGGCTGACACATCCTTGATAATCTGTTCTTTAATCTGTCCCTGCATCTCTATCCACATTCCCTCTCTTGCCCTACTCTCTCTCCTTCAGCCTCACTGAACTCCTTCGGTTCCACAGATGAGGTACCTTACTCCCTCCTTCTTGCTCTAGCAAGAAGGTTGGCTTTTCAAGAATAGCCTAGAGATCTCGTAGTGCCTGTATCTGGGACATGTCTCCAGCTGGGTTGAGCTTGTTAGGGGTTGGTTAGAGCCCTTGTGGATGAGGGTTCCTCCAGGTTGACAGCCCCAGGAGGCCAGGACCTTATTCAGCAGTGTTCCTCATCTCTGACCTGTACTAGACCATGATGTGTATGCAATGAGCAAGTGACATCACTGGAGGTCTACATTCTAGGCTGCAGATAGTAAGTCATGGAAAGAAGCATGTAGAGTGGGAGCAGTATAAAATAAAAATTCTAAAAACCTGGGTTCTAGGTTCAGCTCTGTCGCTCCTTAGTGACCTCAGGCAAGTGTTTGACCTTGGTTTCTCCAGCTGTAAAATGGGAGAGTTGGCCTAGGTACTGTGTTTCTATTGCTGTATTCAACTCTTGAACATGGGCCCTGGATCTCAAAGGTAGTCAGCTGGGATCAGCTCACAGACCTGGCATCTGTACTTGGACTTGCATTCTTCATTTACCTGAGCAAAAGATTGATAGTCATCCCAGGAATCTTTTTTTTTTCTTTTTATGTGCTAGTCCCGGGCTTAGACTCAAGGATTGGATGCTATCCCTGAGCTTTTTTGCTCAAAGCTGGTGCTCTACCACTTGAGCCACAGCTCCATCTCTAGCTTTTTGGTGTTAAATTGGAGATTAGAGTCTCGTGGACTTTTTTCACCCAAGCTAGCTTTGAAATTTGATTCTCAGATCTCAGCTTCCTGAGTAGTTAGGATTACAGACATGAGCCACAGGTGCCTGGCCCAGGCAAGGGTCTTAAACATATATTTTCCTACCCTCTAATAAAGTCTCTGATGGCATATTCTCACAGATTTCATGGATTAATGCAACACAAACCTATCCTTATAGTTCTGGTGATCAGAAGTTTGAAACATATCTCACTGCACTAAAAATCAAGATGTCTATGAGGCTGAGTTCCTTTTAGAGGTTCTAATGGGAATCTGTGTCTTTATTTTCCAGCTTCTAGAAGCACCCATAATCCTTTGCTCATGTTCCTTTCCATCCTCAAGGTTAATAGTTGTAGCTCTCCAAATCTCTGCTCACCTACTGAGCCTCTCTCTCCCTCCCCACATACAGCCCAGGATAATCTCCAACCTCAAGGTCAACTGATAATTATTTTGAGTCTATCTACAGCCTACAGTTTTCATTCCCCTTTGCCATGCATCCTTTCACAGGGTCCAGGGATTAGGAGCTAGACATCTTTGGAGGATCAGAGCATTATTTTGCCTATTACAGCCTAGAGAAGGCATCTCTGAGTTCTTCATTCTTGGCCTCTGGGCAGAGCTGTAGGAGGAGGAGAAGTGGCATTTACTGAGCGCCTACTGTGTTTGTGAGATGCTAAAGACTCACTGTTCCATGCATTCCTCACAGAGCACTGTGGGGTAGCTACAGGTCAGACAGGAGTCCCGAGGAGCAAGGAAAACCCCCAATATTAAGAGTTCAATTGCTCAGAGCCTTGGATTTTCTCAAAGAGCTGGGCCCAAAGCTTAAGACACCTGAAGGGGCTTTGATTGAACTAGCTGGGTTTGGAGCCCCTCCAGCAGCAATGCTTGGGTCAAGGCAGCTTGGCTGTGTTGGTTAAGGGGCCCCTAGGACATTGTGATGGGAACACCTTGCTTCCTCGCTGGTGGGAGGCAGTTTGTGTGTGCCTCTCTGAAGGTGAGACCATCCCACTTCCATGTCTCAGCCGTGTGTCTGACAGTACTGAATGAGCACGGCAAGGGGACTGTGGTTCTTCACAGGTCATCCAGGGCCATTCTACCAAAGTGTCTGAGTCATGGGGTGGTGGGGAACTAAGTCCTCCTGGCCCGCAGAGCTACAGCCTCTCCTCCAGATACTCCCAGGGTGTGTCTCAGAAGAAAGGGAAAGTAGCCTTGGATGGTCTGGAGTCTGCGGGCTGCTTCAGAATGGTTAGCAGTGAGATGGGCCAAGTTCTAGAATCTCCTTCCTCCTCAGCTTCCTCCTTCCTTCCTTCCTTCTTTCCTCCCTTCCTCCCTCCCTTCCTTCCTTCCTTCCTTCCTTCCTTCCTTCCTTCCTTCTTTCCTCCCTCCCTCCTTCCCTCCATTCCTTCCTCCCTCCCTTCCTTCCTTCCTCTTTTCCTTCTTTCTTTCATTGCCATTCTGCAACTTGAACTCAGGGCCTGGGTGCTGTCCCTGAAATTTTTTGCTCAAGGCTAGTGCTTTACCACTATAACCACAGTTCCACTTTCAGGTTTTTGCTGGTTACTTGGAGATAAGAGTTTTATGGATTTACCTGCCCTGGCTGGCTTCAAACCTCAATCCTCAGATCGCAGCCTCCTGAGTAGCTAGGATTACAGGTGTGAACCATCAGTGCCTTTCCACATGCCTCCTTTCTTTAGGACGCAGTCCCAGGCATTCTGTTCTAGTTTGGTCCCTGCTGAGGAGTTCCTAGTGAACAGATGATCTTGGTAAATCCCAGGACTACTGTATTCCTTTTCCTTTCAGTTAAAGAGAGTGGTCAGCATGTCCCACCAACTTGTAAGGTCATTAGTTGAGGGGCCAAGGTTTCTTTCACTGCCTTTGAAGGCTCCTGTCTTACAGTCTGCTGAAATGAATGAGTAACAGAGCAAGCAGAAAAGACTGGTAATTTTATTAATATGCAGATAGGTCCACAGGAAGAGGGAAGTAGGGGTTATTAGGACTTTCTATTTCTCCTCCCTTCACCTGATCCCACCTGAGCCTTCCAGGCCTACCCACTCTTACTGGGGAACTGCACCAACCTGTCTTGGTCATTTTTAAAAATTAATTAATTTGTTTATTTTGTCAGTCATGGGGCCTGACCTCTGGGCCCAAGCACTGTCCCTCAGCTCTTCAGCTCAAGGCTAGCGCTCTACCACTTGAGCCACAGCACCACTTCCGGCTTTTTCTGCCTGTGTGTGTAAGGTCTACCATGGGAAGGTGGAGCACACTCCTCCCTCCTCTTGGTTAAGTCTCTGCCCAGTACCTGTGTCACCTAGGTAACCGACACACTTGAAGGCAGTCACCTCCCCCCCTCCCTGAGGTCACATCCCCATCTGATGTAGCCACACCTTCTTCTGCCCCTTGCCTTGATAAGTCCTGGCCCAGATGTGGTTCGACCCTTTTTTATTCCTGCTGCGAGGGCTTCCAACTTGACCACAAGCATCCTGCAAATAAAACCTTCCCTTGCCTGAGTACCATGTATTGCTCTCTTTCCCCAGCTGCCAATTTATTCACTTAACAATGTGGTGCTGAGGAATCAAACCCAGGGCTTCATGCATGCAAGACAAGCGCTCTACCACTGAGCCACCTTCCCAGCCCTGTCCTGGTCATTTTTAAGAGTCTGTGTCTTCTTCTGACAGTCACACAGCAAGTGCCTCTGGGAAACATCCAGCCCAAGATTATGACAGAAATGGTGATTACAATTCTTTGGCCCTACTCCAGCTGGCTGACTTCTTGACCTCTGACACTATTCCTTGGTAGGCTTTGGGTGAGCCTTGGAGTCTCAAGGAAATCATCCAGCACCACCTGAGGGGCCCATAGGTGTGTACCATGGAAGAGCATAAGATTCCAATTCACCTGGGCCATTCCTAGTCATGGTTTCCCAGGCCTTTCCCTCTGCCCACTGAATCTCCAGGAATCTGTGCATTAAGTCACACACGGCATATCTGGGTGGGGAGCTGCACTAGGGAGTGGGAAAACAGAAACACAAGCCTTGGCAGTGGCTCAGGAGAAGGGAGCCCCCGGTTTCTGAGGATCAGCAGCAGCAGACAGATAGATGCTCAACTGAAGCCTTCCTTCTTGGAGAACAGTTTTCATAATAATGGCGATAAAGATCCTGCAGGCCTTTTGTATCCTTTCCCTTTTTCCCTGCCTCCACAGGGCCTCCCTCCTCAGGAAGTCATTCCTCCGGGTCAGAGTCACCTCCTGAGAGGGATTTCACCATGCAGTTTCCCTGTGCAGAGGCATCTAGAATCAGAGATAGAGTGTGAATGGCAGAAGGAGGAGTTCTCAGCGTTCCCCTTCCTATGGGGACTGCGCAGTCACCTTCTGGAGTTGAAGCCAAAGCCTCCCCTGGCTGGTTGCCAGAGGCATTTCCCCAAAATCTTAATCAGGTCTTGGCTTTCCTTTCCTTAAAAATCACTCTCAGCTTTGGAATAAAGCCCGAGCTCCTGGTAGCTTTCCAACTCCTTTGGGTTTACCCTAACCACCTGTCCGCACAATTGCTGCTGCAGCGGTGTGGGCTGTCTGATCTGCGCCTGGGCTCCCGTCTCTGGATGCTGGCTGCCCCTTGCTCTCTCTCATCTCCAATCTCACCTTCCTGGAGAGCTGGGTGCTTCCCTGGCCTTCCCATCAGCAGAGCAGTATTCTAGAAGAATCCTACTAGATGAGAATGGCTATTTTCCATCCCTGTCCTTCTGACAAAATCCCCAGCTTGCCCCGCAGTCTGTCCTGTTTGCATCCCTCGCACCTCCCCCATGACGTGGCACAGAGTAGATATGTAGACTCATACTCCACGTCAAGAGTGACAGACCTGGGCTGGGAAGGTGGCTCAGTGGTAGAGTGCTTGCCTAGCATGCTCAAGGGGTTCAATTCCTCAGCACCACGTAAACAGAAGAAGCTGGAAGTGAACTGAAGAGCTGAGGGACAGTGCCCAGGCCCAGAGTTCAAGCCCCATGATGGACCAAAAAAAAAAAAGGGGTAGGATTCCTTCTCCTTCCACAAATGGATCCCCAAAACAGTCCTCTTAGGGCTGATCTAGGAAGGTAATCCCAATGTCTCCCTAGAAACAGAAGATGGATCTGTAAATGAAGATTCTGCTCACCAGCTACCTGGGAATGTGGTTAGAAGTGGGGCCTCTCAGGCCTCTCCACTGAGCCTCCTCTACATGCCACGCAGGTGCCCATGGCTGGCGCATGCGTGAGAGTGAGATTGCTGGAACAGAGAAACCCGCTGGAGCTTGTCAGGAAAGTTTGCCACGGGAGGATGTGGCGACAAAGAAGGAAACACAGGATCTGGTGGGAATCCGAGGACAGACACTGGGGTGCATTTAGGCCTGAAGCATTTTCCTCCCAGGAGCCTCTAGTTCTAGTTTTGGAGGTTTCAGGTTCCCTTCTTTTGTGTTCACAGGAGTGGCACTGATTAGCCACTGGCCCTTTACATACAGTTAACTATGGCTGCTGCTACACAGTATGAAACACAGCTACTTGGGTCTAGGTTTGTGGGCGTGGAATCCACTACAGGCATGGAAAATTCTGTACAAAGATCAAGTGGTGCATACCTGAATCTTCATCCCATCGCTGTGGTGGACACTAACTAAAGGACTGGCAGGACCATGACTTTAGACAATATCAGGGAGGGTCACTTCTCCACACATCCACATGTATCATTTCCACATGCGCATACACATGCACATGCATGCGCACACCTGTCCTGGGCCTTGAATTCAGGGCCTGGGTGCTGTTGCTGAGCTTTTTTTCTCAAGGTTTAACACTCTACTACTTGAGCCATAGCTCCACTTCTGGCTTTTATGGTAGTTAATTGGCGATAAGTGTCTCATGACTTTCTCGCCAGGCTGGTTTTAAACCAGGATCCTCAGATCTCAGCCTCCTGAGTAGCTACAATTACAGGGTAAGCCACTGGTATCCAGCTTCACCTTTTATGATTGCATCTTTCATGAGCTAGACTGGGATGCGTTCTGTTTTCTCTTTTTGAAGTGACGCTGGTCTAAAATAAAATTAAGCATTCTTAGTCATGATTTGGTCTCTGTTATCCCCACCCGCTTCGTGGAATGTTTTCCCTCTGCCTGTCAGATGGAGGGGTGCATGAGACTTTTCTCTGTGCTGTACATCCCTGTGTCGTCTCTTCTACTTCTTTATCTTGAGCTTTCCTCATGGCTGGTGCATCAGCTCTCTTCCTACTTACAGTATGCTAGCATAGGCTGAGACCACCTGCAGGAAGTGGGCTTGTGTGTGCACATTTCCTGACTGAACTGGACAGGCTGGGGCTATCAGGACAGACTTGGGCCCAGGCTCTGTCTCTGGCTGTGCCCCCTATTGTATGGCACTATGAGCTGCTCTCCAAGTATCAGCAAGTAGACAGGATCCCAGCCAGAGAAGGTACGGGTGGGAGGAAGACTTCGAGATTAAATGGAATTTCTCACATGTCCTCTTGAAATGCATGCTCTCACGCTGACTGCTTTGATTTCTTCATAGAAAATGGGGAGTTCCTTTCTCTGGATCTTGGAGGATCCAAGTTTCGAGTCTTGAAAGTGCAAGTCTCACAAGAGGGGAAACGAAACGTCCAGATGGAGAGTCAGTTCTACCCAATGCCCAATGAAATCTCTCGGGGGAATGGCGTGGAGGTACTGGCAGGCAAGGGAAGGCCTTGGGATCGGCCAGGAGAGCCTTAGTCCAGGGGCCTTCATTCATTCATTCATTCATTCATTTGTTCACTATGTGCTTTCTCTTCTACAGCTGTTTGACTATGTCGCTGACTGCCTGTCCGATTTTATGAAGCACAAAGAGTTGAAGCATAAGAAGCTGCCTCTGGGCTTTACCTTCTCCTTTCCCTGCAGACAGACAAAGCTAGAAGAGGTAAGGTAGCAGGGGCATTTTGATTTGTCTTTTCTCTACTTTGTGTTCACAGTTAGGTGACAGGTGAAGCAGAAAGCTGGTTAACATTATAACCTTGCTGGGCACGAGTGGCTCACACCTGTAGTCCTAGCTACTCAGGTGGTTGAGCTTGAGGATTGACGTTGGAAGCTAGCCCAGGCAGGGAAGTCTATGAGACTCTTATCTCCAATTAACCAGCAAAACAAAAACAAAAACCAAACAAACCAGCTCCACTCTGGAAGTGAAGCTGTGGCTCAAGTGTGATAGACCAGCAGCCATGAGCCAAAAAAGCTAAGCAAAAGGAGAGGCTCTGAGTTCAGTCCTCACAATCAATACAAGAACAAAACAAATCCCCACTGTAGCTTTGATTCTATACTTCCCATGAGCCCAGAGAGAGAGAGAATGGAATGGCTTTCAGTGATTCTCAAACCTTGCTGTGTACCAGAATCCTCTGCAGGGCTTGGGAGACAGATCACTGGGCCTTTTAGAGAGGTGGTCTGCAGCAAGAACAAAATTTGCATTTCTATCAGGAGAGGCCATGCTCCCAGTCTGAGGAGCACACTTAGGATGCTGACGCTAGAATGAGAGGCTTCAGGCATCTCACGCCTGAGCCCTTAGGATGAGGACTGGGTCAGGAGCAAACATGTATTGAGCAGACCCAGCACAGTGGGTATATAGTCTCAGCCATGTTACCAGCAGGGCAGGAATTCAGGCCTGTGTGTGTCTCAGTTCTTCATTTTGTGAACAGAGGAAGCCCATCCCAATCCTCTGTGGAAAATCTAAGAAAATAGATAACAGGCCATGTAAAATGACTTTCTGGCCAAGGAGGGTGCCTCAAACCTGTAATCCTAGCTACTTGGGAGGAAGAGATCAGGGGATCATGATTTAAATCCAAACTGGGCATAAAGTTGAGACCCTAATTTAAAAAATAATAATAAATGCAAAAATGACTGTGTGGTTCAAGTGGTAGAGCACCTGCCTAACATGTGCAAGACTTGGAGTTTGAACTTCAGTAGCAAAAAAAGAAAAGATATAGAGGAGGACAGCCTCTGGGGCTAGAAATTTATTGTAAGAATTCAGGTCTCCTCAGGAAATGGAAACAAAATGTAAAAGAGAGAGATGGGGGGATGGCCAGGAAGGTCGATTAGTAGTAGAGTGCTTGCCTAGCATGCATGAAGCCCTGGGTTTGATTCCTTAGTACCATATAAACAGAAAAAGCCGTAAGTGGTGCTGTGGCTCTAGCTTTGAGCGTAAGAAGCTCAGGGACAGTGCCCAGGTCCTGAGTTCAAGCCCCAGGTCTGGAACACACACACACACACACACACACACACACACACACACACACACACACACAAGAGTCAGATCTCTCTGTTTTTCTGGTCCTTGGGTCTTGAACTCAGCCTGGGTTCTGTCCTTGAGCTCCTTTTGGCTCAAAGCTAGTGCTCTTCTATTTGAGTCACAATGCCATTTATGGCTTTTTATGAGTAGTTTATTGGAGATAAGAGTCTCATAGGGACTTTCCTGTCAGAGCTGGCTTCCAACTGCGATCCTCAGATCTCAGCTTGCTGAGTAGCTAGGATTATATGCTCAAACCACAGGCTAGATCTCTCTCTCTCTAATAAAGTCCATTGCTTTAGCCTATGAAGGAAGAAGTTAGAAAGCTGCCACACGGTGGCGCTGTGTTGCTCTTGTGCTCCTGCAACTTGGGGTCAGTGTGCATTGAGAGACCTGTGATTACAGTGTTGAAATCTAATAATGTTGGGCCCTCTATTTGCTCTGTGATACCTATGACCATCTCCTAATCTCTAAATCTGTTTCTTTATCTATAAGCTGAGGAGACTGGAAGAAGTATGGTTGGGGAATGTGTGATCTTGAGCTTAGACTTCAGTGATTCTATTAACTTCGAAGTTTTTTGCTGCTCTGAATAATTCTACGATTTATGTGGGATTTCAGAAGAGAAAGTCTTCTAAAACACGATTTGTAAAGAAATAATTGATAATGCAACTTGAGAACCTTTTTTTTCCAAGATAAAAATTAAGTTCTTGAGGGGGCCCTACAGGGCAAAAGCCATGCGTTAGTTTTGTTTTGCGTATCTGCAAATAATACAGTTTATAATTCATAGCTATCATAAGAGCCTGTGCAACTGTAGCATTTCCACTATACAATGAAGAAATGGAGGTGCCAAATGTTCTGACTCTTGGACAATTACTTCTGATTACTATATATGATGTTTCAATAAACTTAGATGAGAGGAATAAAGATGTTGAGATTAGAAAATGCCTCTGCAGCAACACTGAGTCTATTCAAAATAGTCAAGATATGGAAATCTACCTAACTGCCCATAAACAAATAGGTGGGTCCACATTTGGAATACTATTTAGCCACAGAAAGAGGTAATTTTGTCATTTGTGGCTATGGATGGAGCTTGAGGTCATTGTGTTAAGTGAAATAAGCCAAGCAGGCAAAGCTGACTCATTTTTGGAATCTAGAAAAACTAAGCTCATAGAAGCAAAAGGTAGAATGTTGATTACCATAAGCTGGGAAGGGGCGGGAGGAGGGATGATAGAGAGTAGATGCAAAATTGCAATTACAAAAGAGAAGTAAGTTCAGTATTCCTTCTATAGAAAGGTGGCTATAGAGCCGGGCGCTGGTGGCTCACGCCTGTAATCCTAGCTACTCAGGAGGCTGAGATCTGAGGATCGCGGTTCAAAGCCAGCCGGGGCAGGAGAGACCGTGAGACTCCTATCTCCAATAAACCACCAGAAAACCGGAAGTGGCGCTGTAGCTCAAGTGGTAGAGTGCTTGCCTTGAGCTGAAGAGCTGAAGGACAGCGCCCAGGCCCAGAGTTCAAGCCCCACGACCGAAAAAAAAAAAAAAAAGAAAGGTGGCTATAGGTAACCAAACAGTGTTATTTAAAAATAAATAAGAGAGAGGACTTTGAATAGAATCACCACTAAGGGATGACAAACGTTTGAAGTGTTATACCAATTATCATGTTTTTTCCCCAGTACTGGGCCCAATTCAGGGCCTCTCATTTGCTTTACCACCTGAGCTATACCCTAGATCTTTTGTTTCTATTTCATTTCTCAGATAAGGTCTCACTTACTTTGTTTGGTCTGGCCTTACATTTGCAATCCTCCTACCTCTGCCTCCCAAGTAGCTAAGATTATAAACATGAATCACTGTGCCCAGTTTAGTTACCTGATTTGGTTATTCCACATTGTATCCACGTACTGAAACATCACACCATATCCCATGCGTATATACAATTATTATATGTCACTTAAAAACACAATGAACCCTCACATGAGGAAGCTAGATCTAATCTATGCCGAAACATGGTAAATTATACAGGCCTCTCGACATTCACACACAGCGAGATCAAAAGGAGGTACTCCTAGGAGAGGGACATAAAGGCACAATGCCCATGAGCATCTGAGCATATCAAATAATATTTATTGGAATGAACTCCAGGAAATGGGGAAAGGAACACTAGGAGAAAGAATTGGGGTGCTTTGGTTAGCGAGGAGAAGCCCATGGGCTTGCTCTGTATGACATTTCTGCTTATGCCACATCAAGCAACTCCTTCATTTGGGCTCTGAACTCTTCTCCCAGGGCGTCCTGCTTTCTTGGACTAAGAAGTTCAAGGCACGTGGAGTTCAGGACACTGACGTGGTGAGCCGTCTGACCAATGCCATCAAAAAGCATAAGGTGAGTGATTCACTTTAGCCCAGGGCCTCTCCTACTCCCAGTTTCCTTCTCTTGGGGGTCTTGTATTGTACCTGCCTGAAAAGAGAACCAGAGAAGGATTTGGGGTGGGGTGGGGTCTCACGTAGTGTAGGTGAGGGCAGTTTAGGTAAGGGAAACGATCAATCTTCAGTTGTGGGGCTGGCTCCATCACCATGAAGAGGCAGCCCCTGTCTCCCTCACCCCCCTCCCCGCTACAGCCCTTCAGGGGGGTTATCCTGAGATGTGTGGTGCTTCCACCTCTCCTCTCTGAAACTCAATAGGTGTTTTTTTTCAGTCATGGGGCTTGAACTTGGGGTTTGGGCGCTGTCCCTAAGCTCTTTTGCTCAAAGCTAGCACTCTATCACTTTGAGCCATGGCTCCACTCCCAGTTTTCTGGTAGTTAGAAATAGGAGTCTCAGGGACTTTCCTGCTCACTCTGGCTTTGAACCTTGATCCTCAGATCTCAGCCTCCTGAATAGGATTATGAAGTGAGCCACTAGTGCCCAGCTGATCACTTTCTTTTTAATCTCGCCCTCGATTCCATTTTCCACTTTCTGTTCATTGAATATCTTTATTGGTTGAACATATTTGATAATAATTTGTATAATTGCAAAGCAATACTTGCTCCTTGCTGAAGAAATTGCTCATTACCCCCAAGGGGCTGGGGATAATGAACCCAGGACCTCTGAAATGCTGGGCAAGCTCTCTACTGCGGAGCTGTACTGCAGATTTTGCAGTGTAGCTTTCCTGGTAGGCAGTCCCCAAATTCCCCTCATACAGAACCCGTCACCCTTAATGCAGAAGCATAATGTCCCCTCTTGGGCTCCCTTTGACCTTGACAAAGGCCTGTTTCTTCCACCCTGGCTCAGCAGACAATGTCTAGTGATGTCTCCGTTGTTTTCACCTCCTCTGTTGGAAGGGGAGAGGGGATCCCATCTTCTTCCCAGCTCTGATGCCTTCTGGGCCTTGTGTTCAGCAGGACCTGGACGTGGACATCCTGGCCCTGGTCAATGACACTGTGGGTACCATGATGACGTGTGCCTACGATGATCCCTACTGCGAAGTCGGTGTCATCATTGGTGAGTGGCTGGCTTGTGTTCTGGAGGTGGGCAGGGGATGCTGAGTCAGCAGACTCTAAGTAGGAAGGGCACTGAAGCTGACTATGTAAGGAAAAGCAGCCCAGAGACACGAGGAGTTCATGCATTCATTCATTCATTCATTCATTCAATGAATGTCCCAAGAGTACCGGTGGTATGTTGGGCCTTGTCCTGTGTGTAGGACACCCATGTATGCTCCTGGGGCACGCTGGTTGGAGGAGGGGAGAAGGCCAAGAAGATCTAATCTAAGAAACACATGTGGTGGTGGTTAGTGTGGAAATGTGGGGGGGGGGGGGGAGAGCAGAGGGCTGCTGTGAGGGGGGCATCCGGCCAAGGAACTCAGTGACAAAGACAGAGAGCCATTCAGAAATGGAAGGGAGAGTCCCTGGCAAAGAAGAAACCTCTGGTCTCTGAGCTGGGAATGAGGCTGGGGTGTCCAAGGTACCCCAAAAAGTTGATGGTGTCTGAACCAGGTCAGGTGAGGGAAGGCTGAGTGGCGGACCATTCAGGGCAGAGAACTGGATGTGTTGGATGCATCATGGAGGGCATGGGACATGGGGAGGGCATGGGACATGGGAAGGCCTCCAGGAGATGGGTGGGGAGGCACTGGTGGATGATGGGTGGGAGGATAGATGATTGGGTGTGCCTTTAAAAAAAAACCTCACTTCTGTCAGATGCCAGTGGCTCATGCCTGTAGTACTAACTACTCAGGAGGCTAGGTTCTGAAGATCACAGCTCAAAGCCAAACTGGGCAGGAAAGTCTGTGAGACTCTTATCTCCAATTAACTACCAAAATGCCAAAAGTGAATGGTGCTGTCGCTCAAATGTAGAGCACTAGCCTTGAGCAAAAAAGCCTAGGGACAGTACCAAGGGCTTGAGCTCAAGTCTCAGAACTGGCACACAATTTTTGTTGTTGTTGTTGTTGGTCATGGGGCCTGAACTCTGGGCCTGGTCGCTGTTCCTCAACTCTTCAGCTCAAGGCTAGCACTCTACCACTTGAGCCACAGCACCACTTTTGGCTTTTTCTGTTTATGTGGTGCTAAGGAATTGAACCTAGGGCCTCATGCATGCAAGGCAAGCACTCTACCACTGAGACACCTTCCCAGCCCCAACACACACAAAGCAAGCTTGATGCCAGTAGCTTGCCCTGTATCCTAGCTACTCAGGAAGCTGAGATCTGAAGATCATGGTTCAAAGCCAGCCCAAGCAGGAAAGTCCATGAGACTCTTATCTGCAATAAACCACCAGAAAACGGGAAGTGGTGCTGTGGCTAAAGTGGTAGAGCACTGGCCTTGAGCTGAAGAGCTGAGGGTCAGTGCCCAGGCCCAGAGTTCAAACCCCACAACTGACCTCCCCCCAAAAAAATAAAAGCAGCCTTATTGAGTCATTAAAATTCTCTTGCTTTAGATGTACAATTCAATGTTGGTAAATTTATACAAAATTTGTAATCATCCATTCTTGTGGTTCTTTTTCTTTTTTATGCCAGTACTAGGGCTTAAACTTGAGCCTCAAACTCCCTTAGTTTTTTTCATTCAACACTAGCACTCTACCACTTGAGCCACAGCTCCAGTTCTGGCTTTTTGGTGGTTAATTGTACATAAGAGTCTCACAGAATTTTCTGCCTGAGTTGGCTCCAAATCTCAATCCTCCAATCTCAGCCTCCTGAGTAGTTATCCACCAGTGTTTACTGTGTATCCATCCATTCTTTTTTTTTTTTTTGGTCCGGTTGTGGGGCCTGAACTCTGGGCCTGGGTGCTGTCCCTCAGCTCTTCAACTCAAGGCTAGCACTCTACCACTTGAGCCATAGCGCCACTTCCCGCTTTTTTCTTTTTGCTTATGTGGTGCTGAGGAATCAACGCAGGGACTCAGGCATGCAAGGCAAGCACTCTACCACTGAGCCACCTTCCCAGCCCCCATCTATTCTAATTATAGAGTCTATCCACTATCTCAGGAGATTTCAAAGTAATGTTATTTATTTGTACTCAGTGTTTGAGACATTTCTTTGGATCATTTTTTGTACCTGAACATCGCTTTATTGGGTAATAATCCCTATCAAAGGTAAAATGTAGCTTATGGTAAGAACAATTTAATGGCCAGTCATGAGTAATGAATTTTGTGTGTGTGTGCTAGTCCTGGGACTTGAACTCAGGGCACTGAGCACTGTCTCTGAGCTTCTTATGCTCAAGGCTAGTGCTCTACTACTTGGGCCATAGCTCTACTTCCAGCTTCTTTTGGTAGTTTAATGGAGATGAGAGTCTCAAAGACTTTCCTACCTGACTTTGAGCTGTAATCCTTAGATCTCAGCCTCCTGAGGAGCTAGACATGAGCTACTGATGCTTGGCTAATATTTTTAATATCAAACAGAGAGGAATATAAATAGCTTCAACTGAATATTAACAATTACTCTGGGGCTGGTAGCTGGTGGCCCACATTTATAATCTTAGCTACTTAGGAGGCTGAGATCTGAGGATCATGGTTTGAAGCCGGCCTAGGCAGGAAAGTCCATGAGCCTCTTCTCTCCAATACACTACTCAGAAAAAGCCTGAAGTTAAAAAAAAAAAAAGAAAAGAAAAAGCCTGAAGTGGCTCAAGTGGTAGAGCACATAGCCTTGAGCAAAAAAAACCTCAGAAACAGTACCTGGCCCCTGAGTTCAAGCCCCAAGGCTGAAAAAAAAATTACTCTAGATTGGTGAGGGTTTGGTTTATATATTTACAAGGTTAGCTTAACTCCTCTTCCTCCTCTTATTGTAAGTGGGTGGGGATAGCTCTTACACATATTATCAGGATCTGTCTCCCAATAACTGCATTTGTAGTAGCAAACCACTAACCACACCCTGAGAAATATACAGAGGACATGCCAGCTCCTTTCTTATGATCCCCGTCTTGGGAAAGCTCCTTTCCTCTGCAGAACCAGGCCCTGGGGTGGAGTGAACAGCACTTTGTGTATGCTCTTAAGGAGGATGCCCAAGTCGAACTTCCTTTGTTTTGCCCAGTTGTCCCTTTCTCTTTGCCCACCCATTCTCTCTGATCTCTCTTTCAGGCACTGGCACCAACGCCTGCTACATGGAGGACATGAGCCACATCGACCTGGTGGAAGGCGACGAGGGCAGGATGTGCATCAACACGGAGTGGGGGGCCTTCGGGGACGACGGGTCCCTGGAGGACATCCGCACTGAATTTGACAGGGAGCTGGACCTTGGCTCGCTCAACCCAGGGAAGCAACTGTGAGTCCCTCCTGCTCTAATCCTGGCATCAGCATTGGGCTCACTCGGGTCCTCTTTGTCTGTGGGACAGGACTCTGGTCATGAGAAGCCATCTGTTACGAGTTTGTAAGGCAAGGCTTGTATTGACAGGTGAGCAAAGGAAATGGAGAGCTGTCCCCTAGGTCCTAACCCTAACTCTAATTCAGTCCATATTCCTGAGTACGTATGTGCATTTAAGGCATTAGATATAAGGCTGGAAACCAAATGATACGGCTGTGCCAGTCAGGTAAGTGATTGGCCACAGAAGAGCCTAGAGTGACAAGAAGGAAGCTTGCTGTTACTGTAACAAATGCCTGAGATAATCAACAAAGGTTTATCTTAGCTCATAGTCCATGCTCCATTCATTCTGTTGCTTCTGGGTCAGTGGTGAGCCATGGCAGAAGAATGTGCTAAAGGAAGCCTAATTATCTCATAGCTGGATGCAAAAGAGACAGAGCAAGAAGAAAGGGATGCAGGGGCTGGGAAGGTGGCTCAGTGGTAGAGCGCTTGCCTTGCATGCATGAGGCCCTGGGATCGATTCCTCAGCACCACATAGGCAAAAAAAAAAAAAAAAAAGCTGGAAGTGGCACTGTGACTTAAGTGGTAGAGCACTAGCCTTGAGCTGAAGAGCTGAGGGACAACACCCAGGCCCAGAGTTCAGGCCCCATGACCGGACCCCCCCCCAAAAAAGAAAGGGATGCAGTCCAAATATCCCCTCAAAAGGGATTGGAGGCATGACTCAGGTGGTAGAGCACCAGTCAATGTGCAAAAGCATCAGATATTGAATTCAACTCTCAATGGTGGGATAAAGAAGAAGAAGGAAAAGAAGAAGGAGGAGGAGGAGGAGGAATAGGAGGAGGAGGAAGAAGAGGAAGATGAGAAGAAAGAAAGAAAGAAAGAAAGAAAGAAAGAAAGAAAGAAAGAAAGAAAGAAAGAAAGAAAGAAAGAAAGAAAGAAAGAAAGAAAGGAAGGAAGGAAGGAAGGAAGAAAGAAAGGAAGAAAGGAAGAAAGAAAGAAGCAATATTCCCTTGAAGGACACTGTCCCAGTGACTAGAAGATCTTTCACTAGGCCCACCTCTTTTTTTTGGGGGGGGGTCCAGTCGTGGGGCCTGAACTCTGGGCCTGGGCGCTGTCCTTCAGCTCTTGAGCTCAAGGCTAGCACTCTACCACTTGAGCTACAGCGCCACTTCCGGCTTTTTTCTTTTTGCCTATGTGGTGCTGAGGAATTGATCCCAGGGCCTCATGCATGCAAGGCAAGCGCTCTACCACTGAGCCACCTTCCCAGCCCCTAGGCCCACCTCTTAAAGGTGCCATTACCTCCCAGTAGTGCTGCAGACCAAGCCTTCCATACATGGGCCTTTGAGGGGCACACCAAATCCAACCCATAGCAGCATCTTTAGTCTCTTGCACAAAAGCTCCATGTAGGAGCAGAAAGCACCTGTGTCTGTGACTTGCCTTGCCAGGCCATAGCTGACTTATTGTAAGAAGCTACCTGAGGCCTGTGGCATTGACGTTCCCGATGCCCAAAGCGACAATGGCAGCCCCATGGCTGAGGGAACGGAGATAAAGATTTGGAGTCCAGTACTTCTGGAGTAGGAAAGAATCTTAACCCTTCCTCTCCTGGACTAGATGAGGATGGTTCATCTCAATGAAGTGGTCCTCTCCTCCCAACGTCATTCCTTGACTGCGTGGGAGACTCTCAGTCCCTTGGGCTCCTGCCCTGCACATGCCCAAGACTCCTGGGCTTTGGGAGGTGATGCTTTGTGGCCAAACACATTGCTTCCACTGATGTGTTCCCTGAATTGCAGGTTTGAGAAGATGATCAGTGGTCTGTACCTGGGGGAACTTGTCAGGCTCATCTTGCTGAAGATGGCCAAGGCTGGTCTACTGTTTGGCGGTGAGAAATCCTCTGCTCTCCACACCAAGGGCAAGATCGAAACACAGCATGTGGCTGCTATGGAGAAGTAAGCCACCAGCCATATGCCCCACTACCTTACCTCTGCAGAGGGCTGGGAGGTAGTGGCAAAGGGTAGGGTGTTCAGGTGATAGGGGAACAGTAGGTGTCCCTCCTTCACAGCAGGCTTCGGGACTGGGCACAGATTTGGGCGGGTTAGCAATTTTTTCCATGACTCAGATGCCATATTATGGTTGTCTTTATCAGCCAGGGACTCAGCTGTCAGAGGGCCATTTTTTCTCCATGTCTTGCAATGTTTTTAGGATGTTGGATCCATTTGAGAATCTGATTCATTTCAGATGCATTATCCCCCAAATGCACATTTATGTACAGTTTTACTACACTCTCAGGGCATTCTTGCAGCTTGGAAAGCCTGTATGTGAGATCCAAACTAAGAATTTCGTGTGTGTGTGTGTGTGTGTGTGTGCATGTGTGAGTGTGGGTGTGTGCATATGTACCAATACTGAAGCTTTAATTGAAGGCCTCATATTCTCACTTAGCTTTATTGCTCAAGGATGGTGCTCTACCACTTGAGCCACACCTCCACTTCCAGGTGGGTTCATTGTGGGTTAATTGGAGATGAGTCCCTCAGATTTGTCTGCCTGGATTGGCTTCAAAATATGATTCTCAGACCTCTTGAGTAGTTAGGATTCTAGACATGAACCACCAGGTACCTTGCAAACTAAGAACTCTTGATACAGAAAGAGCCCTTTCCACCTGCTCCCAGGGAGGCTGGCTTTAGACCTGGTGATCTGAGCTCCACATTCAGATTCCTGCAGTGGAGAGCTGGCTGATGAAGGAGGCCACCCCAGTCAACTCAGTGCCTTGCTCCTCAGATTTACAAGCCCTGACATTATTCTACTTTTTCTAATCAGTGTAGAGTCTGAGCTCACTCTGAGTCTGAACCTGCAGCAGAGTTTCTGTGAATGACAGCATAGCACAGGGTAATTGAAAGTGTTGGTTCTGCCAGGCACCGGTGGCTCATGCCTGTAATCCTAGCTACTAAGGAGGCTGAGATCTGAGGATCAAGGTTCAAAGCCAGCCTGAGAAGGAAAGTCTGTGAGACTCTTATCTCCAATTAACTACCAGAAAATAGGAAGTGGTGTTGTAGTTCAAGTGGTAGAGTGCTAGCCTTGAGGTGAAGAGCTGAGGGACAGCACCCAGGCCCCAGAGTTCAAGCCCCATGACTGACAAAAAAAATTATAGGTTCTACATTCTAATTTCCTGAGTTCAAAGTTCGGTTCTAGCACTTACTGTGTGATGAGAAACAAGTTACGTACATCTCTCATATGCACACTGTCATACTGTCATTTTGTAATAGCAGTACTCCTCCCAGGACTGTTGTGAGAATTAGAAGAGTTAATAGATGTAAAATCCTTAGACAAGAACCTGTCACATAATAATTGCCTGGTAAATAGAAGCCACTTGTTATTACTACTACTGCTGCTGCTACTACTACTACTACTACTATTATTGTGAGACAGCCTATTTATTTGCCCGGTCCTGAGAGGCAGAAGAAGATCTGATTCCTCCAGGATGAAGCCCCTAGTCTGGCAAAGTATGATCTTCTCATCCTGTTTCCTGGCTAGGTATAAAGAAGGCCTTGCTAATACAAGGGAGATTTTGACAGATTTGGGCCTAGAGCCCTCTGAGGCTGATTGCATTGCTGTCCAGCACGTCTGCACCATCGTCTCGTTCCGCTCTGCTAACCTCTGTGCAGCGGCCCTGGCGGCCATCCTGACCCGTCTCCGGGAGAACAAGAAGCTGGCAAGACTCAGGACCACCGTGGGCATGGACGGCACTGTCTACAAGATACACCCTCAGTGAGTGCTCCCTCCTAGCCCACAGCGAAGGGGAGCCCGGTGTGTGCTCTGGTCTGTGTTGCTTATCTGAGCCACTGATTACAAGAGAAACGACAGATAGAGAGCATTTTTGTCTAACTGGCTAGGTAGCTTTAGGGAAGCACTCGTTTTAATTTTCTATTTTGAATTGTTATTATAAAGGTGATGTGTAGAGGAGTTACCATTACATAAGCCAGGTAATGAGTACTTTTCGTCTTGGACCATGTTACTCCTCTCTTTGCTGTCTCCCAGTTGGGAAACATTCTTAAAAGAAATATTTTGCTATATCCATTGCCTAAACTGGGCACTGGTAGCTCATGCCTATAATCCTAGCTACTCAGGTGGTTGAGATTTGAGGATCACAGTTTGAAGCCAGCCCAGGCAGGAAAGTCCATGAGACTCTTTACTACTCAGAAAACAGTGTGGCTCAAGTGGTAGAGCACTAGCCTTGAGCAAAAGAAGCTCAAGGACAGAGCTCAGGCCCAGAGTTCAAGCCCAGGACCAGGGAAAAAAAGCCATTGCCTAACTAGGAAGGCCATCCATCTGTCCATCCATCCACTCATCCATCTATCCATCCATTCATCTCGGTATACATCCATGCATGTATGTACCCACTCATCCATTCCATCCATGCATCCATCCATATGTCCATCCCCATCTATCCATGCATCCATGCATACATGGATGTCTGCATTCCCCCATCCATGTATCATTGTATTATTTATTAAATACTTTCTATTTGGTAAGACTGTTGTCAGGTAAGGTACACCTTGTATGAAGGATCCTGGTAGGAAGACACACAGAAATGAGAATTTCTCAGAAATATAGAGAGCAAAAGCTCCTTTGGCTGACAGAGTTGTCACTGGAAGTCAGGTGGGTATACTCTGGAAAGAGCTACAAAAGGAGCTGGGAAGGTGGCTCAGTGGTAGAGTGCTTGCCTCGCATGCATGAGGCCCTGGGTTCGATTCCTCAGCACCACATAAACAGAAAAAACCGGAACTGGCGCTGTGGCTCAGAGAGCTGAGGGACAGTGCCCAGGCTCAGAGTTCAGACCCCATGACCAAAAAAAACAAAGAGCTGTAAAAGAGCCTTCCCATTGCCAGGTGCCAGTGGCTCACGTCTATAATCCTAGCTACTCAGGAGGCTGAGATCTGAGGATCGAGGTTTAAAGGCAGCCTGGGCAGGAAAAGATCTTTCCCACTGGCCAGATAATATTCAGACAGCATATCACATATGGACCTGCCTTACATGAAACATCAGTGCATCAAATGGGCACTTCCTAATGTTCCTTCCATTGTCCCAGTGTCCTAGTCTCTCTCTCTCTCTCTCTCTCTCTCTCTCTCTCTCTCTCTCTCTCACACACACACACACACACACACTACCTCAAGGGCTGGGTCTTGGCCAAGCATGCTGCCCAGGGCCCTCCTTCTCTTCTGTCTGTTCCCACTGGCTAGACCTGGCCTTGATGATTCTCAGTATTTCCCTATCCTCCCTACCTTTAGGTACCCCAAACGTCTGCACAAGGTGGTGAGGAGGCTGGTCCCAAACTGTGATGTCCGTTTCCTCCTGTCAGAGAGTGGCAGCACCAAGGGAGCCGCGATGGTGACAGCAGTGGCTTCCCGTGTCCAGGCCCAGCGGAAGCAGATCGACAAGGTGCTGGCTTTGTTCCAGCTGACCCGTGAGCAGCTTGCTGGTGTGCAGGACAGGATGAGAGCTGAGCTAGAGTATGGACTGAAGAAGAAGACCCACGCACTGGCCACAGTCAAGATGCTACCCACCTATGTCTGTGGGATGCCTGATGGCACAGGTGGGAATCACAGCCTCCTCTCTGAATGGTCGCACACAGCTACCTCAGTGGCTCACACCTGTAATCCTTGCTACTCAAGAGGCTGAGACCTTATGATTATAGTTACCTCGATCACCAAAAAGCCGAAAATGAGGCTGTGGCTTGAGTGGTAGAGCACTAATCTCAAATGAATAAGCTAAGGGACAGGACTCTAGGCCTCAGTAATGTCAGAAATTAATCAACCCCCCACCTCCAAACAAAACCAAACCCTTAAATCAGCCGAGTATGAATGGAACTGATGAACTCTGGAAGATCCTGAGTTTCAAGCCAGCCTAGATTACAAGCTGTTACATTGTTTTAGACAAAATGAAACAAAGCAAAACGCAATAACAACAAAAGGCTCCAACAAAAGACTAACCACAGTGAAGGGTTCTGTTTTTATTTTTTAATTTAATTTAATTTTTTGTCAGTCGTGGGGCCTGAACTCTGGGCCTCGACGTTGTCTCTCAGCTCTTCAGCTCAAGACTAGTGCTCTACCACTTGAGCCACCTTCCCAGCCAAGGGTTCTGTTTATTTATTTGTTTGTTTGTTTATTTATTTATTTTGGTCATGGGGCCTGAACTCAAGGCTAGCACTCTACCACTTGAGCCACAGCACCACTTCTGACTTTTTCTGCTTAATGTGGTGCTGAGAGCTCCAACCCAGGGCCTCATGCATGCAAGGCAAGCATTCTACCACTGAGCCACCTTCCCAGCCCCCAAGGGTTCTGTTTTAAAATTTTTAGATTCAGATCTGTTAAGGAAGGGAAGGAAACATAAAGTAGAAGTTTAGTTCTTCTGAACCTGTGTGCCTTGGCTTACCTTGTGTGTGTGTGTGTGTGTGTGTGTGTGTGTGTGTGAGAGAGAGAGAGAGAGAGAGGGATACGTGCATGCACACACATGTGTGCTGTATAGCCCCATGGTGATAGGACTTGTTATATTTTTTAGACAGTGCCAGAGGGACCAGAGGAAAGCAAAGGAAGAGGATTGTTTCATGCTTGTGAGGAGGGATTCCTCTGGGCTCTTCGGACAGGATGATGATACCCTGAGCTCCTTGCAGTGAGGGTGGCCCAGCCTGAGTTACCCTCAAAGGCCCCTGGAGGGTCCGTTTTAGCAAGCACTTTGCCAGATTCCCTGCATTCAAGACACAGTGCCTTGAGCTTTCCCAGCAGGCCATTGGTCAGTGGTGTTCAGCTCTGAGAGGACTCGCAGAGTCCCAGTCTCCTCACTCTGCAGATGTGGCTTTGGACCTGACCACTCTTGCTGAAGATGAGAAACCAGTGCTCAGACCTGCCAGGTCCCTTACCTCTCTCTGGTTCAGGGCTCTTTTCTTTTCTTTTCTTCCTTCCTTCCTTCCTTCTTTCTTTCTTTCTTTCTATTGTTGGGCTTGAACTCTGGGTCTGGGCCCTGTTCCATCCTTTTTTTCTTTTTTTCCTTTCCTTTCCTGCCTTCCTTCCTTCCTTCTTTCCTTCCTTCCTTCCTCCCTCCCTCCCTCCCTCTCTCCCTCTCTCTCTCTCTTTCTTTCTTTCTTTCTCTCTCTTTCTTTCTTTCTTCTTTCTTTCTCCCTTCCTTCCTTCCTTTCTTTCTTTCTTCCCTCTTTCTTTCTTTCTTTCTTTCTTCCTTTCTTTCTTTCTTTCTTCCTTTTTGTTGGGCTTGAATTCTGGGCCTGGGCCCTGTCCCTGAGCTCTTTCGCTCAAGGCCAGGGCTCTCCTGCTTGAACCATATAGCACCACTTCCCATTTTCTGATGGTTAATTGGAGATAAGAGTCTCACAGACTTTCCTGCCCAGGCTGGCTTTGAACCTCGATCTTCAGATCTCAGCATCCTGAGTACCTAGGATTACAGGCTTGAGGCACCAGTACCCTGCTCCAGGGCTCTTAGTGACACCTGGACCTGAATTTTGCCACAGGGAAAGTGCAGGCTGACAGACCAGCTGAGGATGCCAGCCCAAGGCCTGAAGCCCTTTTCAAGTAGGAGCCCAGGAAGGAAGGCTGTGGGTCTGCAGGGCTTGCACCTGTTCAGTATATGCTGGTGCAATGTAGCCTCCTCTCTCCACCACAGAGAAAGGAAAGTTTCTTGCCCTGGACTTGGGAGGAACTAACTTCCGGGTCCTCCTGGTGAAGATCAGAAGTGGGCGGAGGTCAGTGCGCATGTACAACAAGATCTTTGCCATCCCCCTGGAGATCATGCAGGGCACTGGTGAAGAGGTGAGTGCCCGGGATGGGTCTTGTGCCCAGCCTCCTGCCCTGATCAGTGCCCACCTTGCATGAATGCCATTCTCTCCCGGCAGCTCTTTGACCACATTGTGCAGTGCATTGCTGACTTTCTGGACTACATGGGCCTCAAGGGAGCCCAGCTACCCTTGGGCTTCACCTTCTCCTTTCCCTGCAGGCAGATGAGCATTGACAAGGTAAGACTCCTCACCAGGCTCATAGCCAGCCAAGAAGCTGTCCTCCATTGGGGGACAATGTTCCACTGAGTCACTGTTCACCCTTCCTTCCTTCTTTCCTTCCTTCCTTCCTTCTTTCTTTCTCTCTTTCTCACTTTTTTTCCTCTCTTTCTTTCTGGTCCTGGAGCTTGAACTCAGGGCCTGGGCACTGTCCCCAAGCTCCTTTTGCTCAAGGCTAGTGCTCTACCACTTGAGCCACAGCACCACTTCCATGTATTTCTGTGATTAATTGGAGATAAGAGTTTAATGCGCTTTCCTGTCTGGGCCAGCTTCAAATCATGATCCTCATATCTCAGCCTCCTCAGTAGCTAGGACTCCAGTCATGAGCCACCAGGGCCCAGCTAACTGCTTTTTTATGGGTCACAGATTCGGGGCAGCTGAAAATACAGGGTGGCACTTGAACTACTTAATGTTTTTTATTTATAACTTTCTATTTTTCATTATTTTGCGGGGGAGGGAATTTAGGGAATGGTCATCCCTCACTGTCTGCTGAGGTTGTACTGTGGACTTTCCACAGGCACCAAAATCCATGGATGCTCAAATTCTTTCTATAAAATGGAATAGTGTAGGTCTGGGAATGTGGCTTAGTAGTAGAGTGCTTGCCTAGCACTCAGTACTACATGAACAGAAAAAGCCAGAAGTGTACTGTGGTTCAAGTGGTAGAGTGCTAGCCTTGAGCACAGAGAGGCTCAGGGACAGTGCCCAGGCCCCAAGTTCAAGTACCAGGAATGGCAACAATGACAACAACAAAGGAATAGTGTTTTCCTAAAAACTATGCATGCTCACCACAATACTTTGTCATTTTTAAGTTCTTCTTTTTTTTTCCGATATGGGAGCTTGAACTCAGACCATTAGCTTTTTTTGCTCAAGTTTGGCACTCTGCCACTTGAACCATATCTATACTTTGGCACTTTTTTTTTTTTTTTTGTAATTAATCGGAGTTAGGAGTCTCACAGACTGGTCTGGCTTTTTTTTTTTTAGCCTCCTAAGTAGCTAGGTAGGTTTTTTTTTTTTAATTTTTTGCTTTCTCCTTTAAAAAAAAACACTTAAAAAAAAAAGACTAATGCATCCTTGTGTCACTGGGCCCATTAAAAATTAATGCCTGATGGGAAATAGTGCCATGTGCAGCTGTCCATGGTGCTGAATGATTGACGGGCCTGATAAGTCAGGACGTAGCTGAGCTTCTCACCCAGGGGAACCGCCCTTCCAGGCCTGTCTCCTCTGACAGCACTGACAAGCCTGTAAAGCATGGTGAAGAAGGTAGGAAATTGGAGACAAAGCCACCTATGAAGGGGAGGAAAAAAGAGATATAATAAATTGTCTGTGTGTGTGTGTGTGTGTGTGTGTGTAGTGACAATGTATAAGAAGGGTTTTCAGTTGAGGATATTTCTCTACTTGTCTCTATATATACCATCCAGGGAAGGAGCAGGGGGCAGGGGGTCCAGGGTGCCAAGAAATGTGCTGAGGTGGAAACATGATTGCTGGCTGAGGTCTCAGGAGAGGGTCAGATAGCCACAGGGTTTGGGAGCTGACATTGGATTTGCTGGCAGCTTCAAATCACTACTTTCGTGGGTTTTTTGTTTGTTTGTTGGCACCTGGCTCTCAGTGTTATAAAAAATAGACATATTAATTTTAGAAAAGTTAAAGAGTATGGGCACTCAGAGTCACTTGCTGGTGGCTCATACCTGTAATCCTAGCTACTTAGGAGTTTAATATCTGAGGATCAAGATTCAAAGCCAAAGAAAGTCCATGAGACTTTTATCTCCAATAAACTACCAAAAATCCAGAAGTGAACTTGTGGCTCAATGGTAGAGTGTCAGGCTTGAGAAAAACAAAACAAAACAAACAAAAACAAAAAAACCCTCACTAGGACACCGGCGGCTCATGCCTGTAATCCTAGCTACTCAGGAGGCTGAGATCTGAGGATCCAGGCCAGCTTGGGCAGGAAAGTCCATGAGACTCTTATCTTCAATTAACCACCAGAAAACTGGAAGTGATGCTGTGGCTCAAGTAGTAGAGCACTTGCCTTGAGCTGAAGAGCTGAGGGACAGCTCCCAGACCCAGAATTCAAGCCCCATGACCAACAAGCATGCATAAGCACACACACACACACACACACACACACACACACACACACACACCTCTCAGTGACAGTTCCCAAGCCCTGAGTTCAAGCCCTAGGACTGGCACAAATAAAAAGAGTGTCACTCAGGATGTTGCACCCAGAGACAACCATTCAAGCTGTATATCGTATTCCAGATTCAAGCACGTGTATAATTTAAAAAAAACTAATAGGATCCAAGTGCTGGTGGCTCACACCTATAATCCTAACTTCTTGGGAGGCTGAGATCTGAAGATCATGGTTGAAAGTCAGCCTGGACAGAAAAGCCCATGCAATTCGTATGTCCAATTAGCCATCAAAAAGCCAGAAGTGGAACTGTGGCTCAAGAGGTAGAGTGCCAGCCTTGAGAGAGAAAAAGGTTCAGAGACTATGCTCAAACCCTGAGTTCAAGCCCCAGGACTGGCACACAAAAAACAACAGATTAATTCACTGTGTGTATGTCTAGTGAGCTTTCATGTAACAGTGTATAAGTAACACTATTCTCTCTTTCCAGCCTTCTCTCACTGCTAAATTAAGATTTTTTTGGAAGTGGCACTGTGGCTCAAGTGGTAGAGCACTTGCCTTGAGCTGAGGGACAGTGCCCAAGCCCAGAAGTCAAGCCCCACAACCAAAAAAAGAAAGATGTTTTTAGGCAGGAATGTGGCTTCCTGGTAGAGTGTTTGTCTAGCACGCGTGAGGACCTGGGTTCTATTCCTTGGTATCACGTAAATACAAAAAGTAAATAAAACTTGATGACATCTGAATCCGTGGCGGGCTAAATTAGAAGTGGGATCACCTGACATAGCTTTTGATTCTGTGTGGTAACAGTGTGCCTCAGAAGTTAACGCCTGACTCTTGAAGATTATGGCTTATCTGGCTATCCTACTCCATGCTTCCTCTGTTCTGAGTTAGGACTGCAGTGAATACACACTGCAAAGTCCACACACCTGACTAGCAAGGATGTCCAGTTGCCTCGTGTCTCCTAGATGTAGAGGTTGCACAGTGCACAGCTTGTGAGCTACTGCTTAAGTAAGTACCCCCCCTCCTTTCTTTCAGGGAACACTCATAGGATGGACCAAAGGCTTCAAAGCCACTGACTGTGAAGGGGAAGACGTGGTGGACATGCTCAGGGAGGCTATCAAGAGGAGAAATGTAGGACATGATGTTGAGGCTTATGCCTGCCTTGTCCATTCCCCACATCCCTCTGCTCTGCCATCTCGTGCCCAGTCCCTGTGACACAGGCCTCTGCTGCCTTGGGCTCACAGGCCCCTGGGAAATCTGCTTCCAGTAAGGCTGCTTCCTTTGCAGGAGTTTGACCTGGACATCGTTGCAGTGGTGAATGATACAGTGGGGACCATGATGACCTGTGGCTATGAAGATCCTAACTGTGAGATTGGCTTGATTGCAGGTAAGTGCTCAGTTGTGGCCCACTGGCCTACTCGCAGCCTGTCTTATTTTTTGTCAGTCATAGGACTTGACCTCTGGGCCTGGGCTTTGTCCCTCCAGGCTAGCATTCTACCACTTGAGCCACGGCGCCACCTCCGGTTTTCTGGTGGTTTATTGGAGATAAGAGTTTCACAGACTTTCCTGCCCCAGCTGGCTTTAAACCATGATCCTCAGATCTCAGCCTCCTGAGTACTAGGATTACAGGCATGAGCCTGCCTTTTTGATGCTATCTTTGAGCCTTAAAGTGGTAGGGGTCATTGATCCAAAACTTAGAGGCTCCATCCAAGGTAGAGATGGCCTTCACTAAGATTGGGGTTCAGGTTACTTTATTCCTACATCTCTACTTAATGTAATTCTTCATTAAGGGTTCTAGGCCACAGTCATCCTTTTTTTGTTGAGAAAGGAGATGACAGGAAAAGAAGAGATATTCAAATTATGTCCATGGGACCAGCTATCAGGTGGACAGTACTCATGTTGGCCCAGGATTGACCAAGCCATTCTCACTCCAGCTCCAAGTGTGTGCCTCCTCTGCTACCTTCCTACTTCTGGTTGAGTGGTAAGGGGAAGAGTTGGAAGAAAACTTAGAAGAGGGGAAGGGAAAGGTCTAAGGCAATGCAGGCCTTTTAAGGGCCTTTGGAAGAAGTCTTGCAGTAAGCAAGACCAAAATTTGATCTAGAAAGATGAGTCTTCCTAAGAGGACGGGAGCCAAGTGAGATTTGAACGGATAGAGATAAAGAGGAAATGCCTTCCAGGTGACAGGTACAGTTGCGTAGTGGCAGAATCTGGTTGAGGTTTCTAGGGTGTTAGTTGGACTTCCTGAGTATGAATCATAGAGGGATGGAGCCAGGCAGAGGCTCTGGCTCACTTGGATTCCTACTTACTTTTTTTTTTTTGGGTCCGGTCATGGGGCTTGAACTCTGGGCCTGGGCGCTGTCCCTCAGCTCTTCAGCTCAAGGCTAGCACTCTACCACTTGAGCCACAGTACCACTTCGGCTTTTTTCTTTTTGCTTATGTGGTGCTGAGGAATCGAACCCAGGGCCTCATGCATGCAAGGCAAGCGCTCTACCACTGAGCTACCTTCCCAGCCCAGCCCTCAATTTCTTTTGGTGTTAGTTTTTGTCAGCGGGAGGCAGTTGAGTTACAATAGGCCCAATAATTAATCAAAAAACATAAGACACAAAAAGCCATGGGGCCTGATCTTTCATTCTCCAGTTGGGACATCTGAGTTCCATACCTCCTTCAAGGAGCAAGTTCCTCACAACTTTTGTGTCTTGACTGAGAGTTTAGGAGGAAGAACTTGTGAATTTGCCTCCCAGTCAACATTAGTTTTCTGTCCTGATATTGGGTCCTTTGACTGTAGAGGTGTTGGACATTTTAGACAACATAAGCCCAGCACATACATAAGTGTGAGGAGGCTCTGTGTTCCATTCGCCCCGGTAGGCAGTGGGATCCAGCAGTGTGTGATTGTGAGTGGTGTGATCACTGTTCACACTCTAGTGCCTGTCTTCCTTGCTGTTTGGCCCTGTGGAGCTCACAGCTGGTAGAAAAGGGGAAGGAGCTGGGACCTGGTGGCTCACACCTGAAATCCTAGCTACTCAGGAAGCTGAGATCTGAGGGTTGTGGTTCAAAGCCAGTCCGGGCAGAAAAGGTCCTGAGACTCATGTCCAATTCACCATCTGAAAACTAGAAGTGGAGCTGTAGCTTAAAGTGATAGAGTGCTAGCCTTGAGCAGAAAAGCTCAAGGATAGTGTTCAGGCTCTGAGTTCAAGCCCTGTGACCAACCACAATGGAAAAAAAATAGTAAAAAAAGGAAAGGAAGAAACATCTTTGAGCACTCTTGGTGTATAATACTTCAAAATTATTGTTTGAAGTCAAATTTGAAGACATGTGGAGTCAAATGCAAAGTGAAGACTCTCTTGTAAGAGACTGGAAGCACAAAGCTTGCCACGGGTCGGGGGTGGAGGGTTGTTGGCTTGGAGGCCAGGAGAGGGATTTTGACTTAGTGCCTGTGGTGCTAGACCCTACCTCTGTGTTCTTGTGGGGTTCTTCTCTCTTTTCTGTTTGGGGGATGCCAGCTCACAGTACTTGCTTACTTTGTGCAGTCAAGATATGGAAGAGCTGGGTCTGGCTCTTGGTTCATGTGGTTCCAAAGCCTGGCTTTCTCACATGACACTGTCTTCTGCATTGCATCTCTCTGGGCCTGCCTGAACCAGGCCTGTGGTTACATCAATGACATGCCCTCCTATGGCAGACTGCAGAAACAGGCCAGGGCTGATTTCCCTGCCCTCACCAGCCTTGTTTATCCCTCTTCTCCCAGATATGAGAAAATGACCAGTGGGATGTACCTGGGGGAGATTGTACGGCAAATCCTGATTGACCTGACCAAGCGGGGTCTCCTCTTCCGAGGGCAGATCTCAGAGCGTCTCCGGACCAGGGGCATCTTTGAGACCAAATTCCTGTCCCAGATTGAAAGGTGATGTGTGATCAGTTTACTTGCTTGGTGGGAGATACTCTGAATGGGATGTGCTGTTATGTCAAGGTCAGGAAGATTTGAGTTTTATTTGTTTTTGGTGCTTGTCCTGGGGCTTGAACTCAGGACCTGAACACTGTCCTTGAGGGGTTTGTTTGTTTGTTTGTTTTTACTCAAGGTTAGTGTTCTACCACCTGAACCATAGCTCTGCTGCCTGGATGTTTCCATTTGTAAATTTCAGGTCTGGCTGGGCACCAGTGACTCATGCCTCTAATCCTAGCTACTTAGGAGGCTGAGGTATGAGGATGGAGGTTTAGTGCTATCTTGGGCAAGAAAGTCTGTGAGACTCTTATCTCAGGTGCTCTTCTGACAGGGGTCCATTTCACACCTGCTAGAGACAGTTCTTCTCAGGGAAAGGGCCTAGGATTTACAGTCCCAGAGCCTGGGTGTAAGCTTCAGCTCTTGACCTGTCTGTCTGTCTATTGTGGGACTTGTTTCCTCTCTCTGGAGCTCTGTTTACTTCTTTATAAGATAAACAATTGCTGCTTAATCCCCAGAGTTTCCCTGGGATCAAGGGAAGAAATATATATTAAATAATAACCATAAAGAAAGCAGGGAGAAACTGCAGGCCTCCTTTTTATTCACCCTAAAAACACACAAACATTACTCATTTCAGAAAGTTAAAAAAATACAGATAAGTAGAAGAAAATAAGCATTACCTATAAACCTACTAACATCTGAATCACTGCTCTCCTATTTTTTTTTTCTGTGAGGACAAAAGAAAACAAATACACTTAAGCCTGAGATAAAATAGTATGTAGTTTATATCATCTTTCCCCCCCTTATGCCATGATCATTTTCCATGACATGAAATATTTTCACAATAACTTATCTATGTGGCTCTGAGGAAGCTTGTAATCATCCTACCTATTTGGAGGTAGAAATCAGCAGATCACAGTGATTGATGCTCTGACTATAGCACCTGCTCTGTCCTACCTGGCTATATATACTTTAATAGTTCTCATTCTCTCTCATTCCCCCTCCCCCTTGTACCAGTACTGGGGTTTGAATTCAGGCCCTCATACTCTGGCTCAGCTTTTTTGCTCAAGACTGGTACTCTGTCTCTTGAGTCACAGCTTTACTTCTGGCTTTTAGGGGGTTAATGGGAGATAAGGCTCTAGATCACATTGAACAGCTTCTATATCCTAGGAAGCAGTCTCTGACATCCTGCCTTGCTTGCCCACAGCGACCGGTTGGCTCTTCTCCAGGTCAGGAGGATCCTGCAGCAGCTGGGCCTGGACAGCACATGTGAAGACAGCATCATAGTAAAGGAGGTGTGTGGAGCCGTGTCCCGGAGGGCAGCCCAGCTCTGTGGTGCGGGCCTAGCTGCCATTGTGGAGAAAAGGAGAGAAGACCAGGGGCTGGAGCACCTGAAGCTCACCGTGGGTGTAGATGGCACCTTATACAAGCTCCACCCTCAGTGAGTACCTGTGAACAGAGTGGGAAGGGATCATGTGGAAATGTGGGCCTGCCTCTGTAGACTCCAGACTCTTCAGGTCTACAAGGTCAGCGGCACCAACATCTACCACCTAGATTCTAGAACAAGATGTGTGCAGGTTTTATGCCTGTCCGTGGGCTTGAACTCAAGGCTTTGAGCTCTTGCTCAGCTTTTTTGCTTACAGTTGGTGCTATACTACTTGAATCATGCCTCTAGCTTTTTTTTCTGGTTAATTGGAGATAAGCATCTTGAGATTCAATCTGCCCAGGATGGACTCTGAACTATGATCCTTAGATCTTGGCTCCTAAATAGCTAGGATTATAGGCATGAGCCACTGGCTCATTGGTGCTTAGCAGAAGGGCTGTTTTTTTTTTGGGGGGGGGGGTCTGGTCATGGGGTCTGAACTCTGGGCTTGGGCGCTATCCCTCAGCTCTTCAGCTCAAGGCTAGCACTCTACCACTTGAGCCACTGTACCACTTCCGGCTTTTTTCTTTTTTCTTATGTGGTGTGAGGAATTGAACCCAGGGCCTCATGCATGCAAGGCAAGCGCTCTACCACTGAGCCACCTTCCCAGCCCAAAGCTGTTTTTTTTTTATGTCAATGTTTCATATTTTGTTTTGGCAAAAGGAAATATATTAACAAGCTCATAAAATTCCCAATCATACTGAACTTCATTTGTTCAAGGCATCACTGTTGTGAACCTCAACTCAACCTTTCATCTAGTACTGATGGCTAGTGTTCTATTCTCTGGGAGAGGGGGGGGGTCACACATTTTGGCCTTGTTCTTACCTGCCTTTCCCTTGAACCAAGATTTAACTAAGGGGTAGACTTGACCATGATCATTTCAGTAAGCACAGACAACTTGGTAAGATTCATACCCTTTTATGATCAAAGCAACTAGGAATAAGGGCAATTCCTTAACCCATCAAGAATATCTGTGAAACTCACTACTAACATTATGCTTAGTGGTAAAAGGGTAGATATTTCCCAATTGGTTTGGTGGTACATACCTGTAATCCCAGCACTTGAGGGTTCATATAGGAGGATTACAAGTTTGGGGACAGCCAGGGCTACATAATGAGTCCTTGTGGGTTGTTTTTTTTTTTTCCCTTTACAGTGGACTTTTGCAATTAAGATCAGGAAAGAGGAAATTAATTTGTAATCTGTTAATCTCATGTGCAAGGGCTGATGACATTTCTCTCTTTTCACAGCTTCTCCCGGGTGCTGCAGGAGACGGTGAAAGAATTAGCCCCTAAGTGTGATGTGGCATTCATGCTGTCGGAAGACGGCAGTGGAAAGGGGGCAGCTCTGATCACCGCGGTGGCCAAACGATTACAGCAGGCGCACAAGGAGTTCTAGGGTCCCTCTGCTGGCCCCATATGCCTTGGGTACTGACTAGCCCTTCCTCTGGCAGAAGAGTTGGTCAGGAACCAGCCAGCAGCCTGTGGCTGACTTCATCTTCTCCATGGCCAACAGAGAACCCAGGTTCTTGGGCGCTCTTAGCATCTTTTAATTGGTTTTGCAGTGGCACCAAATGACATTTCCATGTGGGCCAAAGAAATCAAAGTGTCTGGTCCGAGAGAGCCCTTGTTGGCAAACTTTTCAGTTGAGCCCTGAGCTGTCATTTCAATGTGGCTTTGGGTCCTGTGGCTGCTAGACTGGAAGCATATATAAAATCTGCTCATGTACCTGGCTGGCTGAGTTCCTCCTTGAGATGCTTACTCTGTGACTGAGCCTTCTGCTTCTGATGAACAGATGAGAGGGAGGGAGGGAGGAAGCCTCATGCCCACACTAGGGGACCTCCTCTAAGCTCACCTTAACTTGTCACTTTGGCTTCAAATGGGAAGCACGAACAAAGACTCTAGAGTGGCCAGTTCTATGATTCAGAGTGTCACGGAGCCTTGTGAATCTTTTCCTGCCCCCTGGGTAGGGTGTGCCTCAAAGCACCATGATTTCTTGTACATGCAGTGTGGTCTGTGCTGCTGTTCTTGTTAGTAGTGCCAAGGACTCTTAGGTCTATGAAATTCAGTAAATGAATAAAAAATACTTAGTTTCCCAAGAAAGGAAGTGTTGATCTTTCTTCTGAGAGGCTCACTTGCTGGCTCCATGGCTTAGTGGCAGAATAAGAAGCCCACAACATCAGAAGGAGTTGAGGATCCCTTTTATCCAGACTTCTTACCAACAGGGAGCACTCTATAGAACTTAACACATTACCCAGATATTGTTTGATTAGCTACTTTCAGAGACTAGACATTTGCCACTGGATCTTATAGTTCTTGCTTTTGAACACCTGGAAGTGACTGGAAGTTCTTTTATATTCTGAGCTTCACTCTTCCTTCCTGAACCAGATCTCTCTCATACACAACACTTGTGTCCCTTCTACATGGAATTGGTGTGTCCTTGCCCTTTCTCCATCCCTTCTCTCTTCTCTCTTTCATCCTTCTTCTCCGAAGTACTTTCTAGCTTCTCACATAGTTAGCTATGTGAGCCTAGGAGATGGTATGCTTTCTTAGGAGTATGTTTGTATTGCCCAAGTGAACCCAACACTGTGTCATTCTTATTACTTGTTTGAAAAGAGGCATGGTAAGAAAATAAAGCTTTCTGAAAAACTGTCCTTGGAAAAAACTAGAGAACAATATCATAGGAAATAACATAATAATATTGTAGATTGTCTAGGTTGACTTTATATATGCATACATTATATATATATATATATATATATATTATATACATAGTGCCTGTCTGGTGGCTTGAACTCAGGGCCTTGGCGCTGTCCCTGAGCCTTTGTGCTCAAGGCAGATGCTATACCACTTGAGCTACAGCTCCACTTCCTACATTTTGATGATTAATTGGAGATAAGAGTCTCATAGACTTTCCTGCTCAGGCTGACTTTGAACCTGGATTCTTAGATCTCAGCCTCCTGAGTGGCTAGGATTATAGGCATGAGCCACTGGTGCCTAGCTGACTTTATGTATTTAATTGCATACTATTTCAGCTTTACCAAGTGTCTGACTGGCTCTTCATGAGAGGATGGCTCCCGGAATGTCACCATGTGCTAAAGCAGTGTGTTCAGACAGACAGAATGGAGGAGGAGGCTGAGTCCCAAACAGTGAGAGATTGTGGGGTGGAGGAGAGAGCTGAGGGGTCCCTGAGAAACATTTAAACATTTAACAAAATGTGTGGTGACATTGCTGTAGCTAAGGCCTAGATTTACTCACATTCATATTTTTAAGGTTATGCTTCTCTGGTAAAGGGTGGCATGGGTTTATTAAATTAATCACTTTCTATTTTGAGGGTAGACCTTGCTGGAGAAATGTTTCACCTGATGAATGGAAACCTGGTTGTCCTTTCTCCAATCCTCTGTTCCTGGGCAGGACACCTGCGGGTTTCTGTCTTTCTGTCCCTGGAGCAGTACCATTTTCCTGCAAGATATTCTGGCCCAGAGGTTCAGGATACTGTGCCACCAAGCCCTCCCAGGCTTTCAGCCTGCTTGGCTCATTAGCATTTGTCCAACTTGCGTCTTCCCCAAGCTCTGATGTCTTGGAAGGAAAAGGAACCTTACAGTATCTCAGCAACCTTGCTCATTCTGAGCAATTGATGGCATCACAGAATCTTTGAAACAGAACGGGGACTCCAGAGAGGGCGGGTACCAGCCCGTGTTTACTCAGGCCAGCCCGCCCCGCAACACCTGGGGCCATGGCGGGCCCCCTTCTCCTCAAGGTTTACTAGGTTAGAACAGCAACCATACAACAGGTAAGCTGGACTTTTCAAATGTTTTTTACAACATTTATGATGTTATATGAATGGAATGTTAGCCTTTTTAAACTTGATACTTTGGTTATACTTAGATAATATAAGTGAAGCATAACTATACACACACACACACACACACATACACACACACACACACACACACACACACACACACAGAATATTAGAACCCAGAAGCTTATACCCAGAGCCTCTTGCTGTGGATCAGTTTTTGTTTTTGTGTTTTTCCAGTCATGGCTGGTACTCTACCATTTGAACCTATGCCTCCAGTTCCATCTTTTTGGCTTGTTAAATGGAGATGAGTCTCTCCAATTTGCCTGCTCCATTTGATTTCAAACTGTGATCCACAGATCTCAGCCTCCTGAAGAGCTGTGATTAAAAGTATGGTTCAGCAGCACCTATTTTTAAATGCATAAAATTACAAAATCAGCCAATGGCATTGAGTTATTAAAGGGTGTGACACTGGATGACTGGTGTATATCACCATGCCCGATGTTTTATTGGCTGAGATGAAGTCACACAGACTTTGCCTGGGCTGACTTTGGACCACAATCCTCTTAATTTCTGCTCTTCAAGTAGGTAAGGTTTGGACCAGCTGTAATCTCACTTTTGTGTGTATGTGAGATTGAAAGCCCCATTACTCTTTTTGGCTTAACAATAAGATTTAGTATTAAGCTTTTTTTTGGTTTAACAAAATGTGACTAAGCTAGGTGTGGTAGTACACATCCATAATCCCAGAACTAGAGAGGCTGAGGTAAGAGGATCACAAGTTCAAGGTCAGCTTGGGCTATATGAGAAAATTCTGGAAAAAAAATGGATTTCCATTGTGATTTATATCATGTTTTGAATTTTGATAGCTCTTTACTTACAGCTCTTTACTTATAGGTACTCCAGTGCTGATGAAAACAATGTTTTATAGTAAACTATGGGTGTATAAGGGATAAAGCTGGGTGCAAAAATAAATAGGATGAAGCCAGGCACCAGTGGCTCCAGTAATCCTAGCTTCTCAGGAGGCTGAGATCTGAGGATCACGGTTTAAAGCCAGCCTGTGCAGGAAAGTCTGTGAGACTCTTTTTTTTTTTTTGGTCCAGTTGTGGGGCCTGAACTCTGGGCCTGGGCGCTATCCCTCAGCTCTTCAGCTCGAGACTAGCTCTCTACCACTTGAGCCACAGTGCCACTTCCGGCTTTTTTCTTTTTGCTTATGTGGTGCTGAGGAATCGAATCCAGGGCCTCATGCACGCAAGGCAAGCGCTCTACCACTGATCCACATTCCCAGCCCTGTGAGACTCTTATCTCCAATCAAACCACTAGAAAAAAAAATGGAAGTGGTGCTGTGGCTCAAGTGGTAGAGTGCTAGCCTTGAGCTGAAGAGCTAAGGGATAGTGTCCAAGCCCAGAGTTCAAGCCCCACGACAGACAAAAAAAAAAAAAATAGGATGGTGGGATTAAGGCTGGGGGACAGGCTGAGGGACAGGCACATGGAAATGAGAAAGTGACAGATTAAATCACTGTCCCAGGTCACATATGTGTTTGTGGAATCACCCCCAGCTGTGACCCCTATGCACTTGCTATATATATAAAGCAGGCTGCGGCCACAGGCTGCCTGGCTTCCTTTTCTTGGGTACGAGTGTTTCATCTGTGTTTTTGCCTGTGAGGCTTTTGAAAGCTTCATGGTTCTACCCACTCCCCATCCCTTCTCCCTCCACTCCCTGGTACACAGCAAGCCATGATTACCAGGTCAAAACGGAAATCCATTTCTCTTCTCAAAGGCAGCTGGAACTATGTGGTTAGTCTCTGGCCCAGATTCTAGTCTGACTTGGCTTCCGGGTCAGCTTGTAAGGTCAGGTTGTGGGTTGGGGGTGAGGACAAAGATGGACTGCTCTGGGGAGAAGCTTGGGTCTGAACTGTCCACAGTGCTGTGTGGTTGTGTACAAAAGAGAATTGAATTGCAGATCAGCTGGGAGGTTAGGGTGACAGCCCTGGCGCCCTCAGCCCCACGGCTGGCAGAATGTGGGAGCGCATAGCTGGCATTTTTTTGCTTGAGATTAGGAAGTCTTTTGCTTCCTCTGTGAAAAGGCTTGAATTAAATGAGCTGTTGTGGTTGGATGGTAAAAATGAGACAGAGGTTTGGCTTGGCTATCACGTGGTGGTGGGCAGATGAGCATTGTCTCCAGGGTATGGCGAGAAGCCAGCGCGGGGTCACACTTTGTGTGGCATCATCAAGACAGTGGAGAAGCCGAGACTGCAGCCTCAGAGGAGGGAGCTTTGTTGTGACTCTCCAAGGCCTGTCCTTATGCAAGAAGCACCATTTCATAGTAAGTTCTTTAGAGTTTGTCTTGGCAGATGCCATATCATGGCTGAAAGGGTGAGGCCATCTGCAGATGCTGAGTTCCTGAGTGCTTTCACTGGTCTGGGGATGCTGCTTGGGGGTGGGCTACCAGGCTGGGGGGAGGCCTCTACGCAAGGGCTTCCTGGACTTCAGCTAAGCTGTCTCTGATATGAGTGAATCATTTCACTCTCTGCTTCCAGTGTCTGAACAGTAAGTGTATGTAAGTATAACATTAAAAAAAAATATTTTTTAGGGCTGGG